AGAACAGGAGGGAAGGATCCTATTAGCGATTTCTGCTATAAAAAACAAGCAAATTACCCAAATTGCTAAAGCTGCGCGTGTATATAATGTACCACGCTCAACTTTACGCGACCGACTTTGTGGCAGCAATTATCGCAAAGATACACGCGCCAACAGCCATAAAATGACCCAAAATGAAGAGGAATCGCTTGTACGATGGATTCTATCTTTAGATCAACGTGGAGCGCCTCCCCGACCATCCCATATACGAGAAATGGCCAATATTCTTCTTGCTGAGCGCGGTGCTACACCTATTCAATCAGTTGGAGAGAACTGGGTCTCTAACTTCATTAAACGACGTGATGAAGTAAATACCCGCTATTCTCGACGATATGATTATCGACGCGCTAAATGCGAAGACCCTAAAGCTATTAGGGAGTGGTTTGATTGCGTACAAATGACTATAATGCAGCATGGAATTGCAATGGAGGATATCTACAATTTTGACGAAACTGGCTTCGCTATGGGCCTAGTAGCTACTGCTCAAGTAGTTACTAGAGCTGATTACTATGGGAAAGGCTCTCTCGTACAGCCAGGCAATCGAGAATGGTTACTTCTATTGAATGTATCAACTCTACTGGATGGGCGCTTCCTCCATGCATTATCTTCAAAGGAAAGGTCCATATAGAGGGTTAGTATCAAGATCAGAAGCTCCCACGTGATTGGAGAATTGAAACTAGTCCTAATGGATGGACTACTGATGAGATAGGCCTTCGCTGGCTTAAAAATCTCTTTATTCCCGCTACTACTGGCCGTATAACTGGGAAATACCGTCTCCTAGTTCTTGATGGCCATGGCAGCCATCTCACGCCCCAATTCGATCAAATATGCAGTTAGAATCATATTATTCCTATCTGCATGCCAGCGCATTCTTCCCACAAGCTCCAGCCTTTAGATGTAGGCTGTTTTGCGCCTTTAAAAAAGGCGTACGGAAGCTTAGTGGAAAAGAAAATGCGCTTAGGAATCAATCATATTGATAAGCTTGATTTCCTAGAGGCCTTTCCAAAAGCTCGCGAGAGCGCTTTTAAAGCAGAAACTATTCAGAATAGCTTCGCAGGCGCTGGCCTAGTTCCATTTGATCCAGATAGGGTGCTCAGTCAGTTGAATATTCAACTAAAGACCCCTACACCACCACCTAGTCGCTCAACCAATTCAGCGCCTAAAACGCCCTATACTGCTAGGCAGCTAGAGAAGCAGGCATCTGCAGTAAAAAAGCTGCTTAGAGCGCGTACACAGAGCCCTTCATCTTCGCTAGAAACGCGATTAGACAAGCTTATTAAGGGTCATGAATTGCATCTTAATGAGCTTATTCTTGCACGCGAAGAAATACGCGAATTACGCGCTTCCAATGAGAAGCAGCTTCAAAAACGAAAGCGCTCTACTAGGCAGCTAGCTACTGCAGAGGGCTTTACTATTCAGGAAGGCCTAGAGCGATTCCAGCGTGAGAATGAGGTTCATGAAGCTCAGGATACTATCCCTATAGATCCAGCGCTTTCTGCAGTTGGATCACGCGTACGAGCGCCACCGCGCTGCAGTGACTGTCATAATCTAGGACATAGGCGATTGCAATGTCCTAATCGAGTTCCTAATTAGTTTTTATATAGAAATGCAATTGTTTGGTTGATAAAGGCCCTAAAATCTTGCCTGGAGGTGGAATCGGGAGCGGAGGTGGCGGCTCGCTTGTGGTGGCGGCTCGCTTGTGGTGGCGGCTCGCTTGTGGTGGCGGCTCGCTTATGGAATACGTTATATGGACGTTAAACTTGATTAATAATAATAATAATTAAGATGTTCTGTTGCTGCTATTATAGCGACCCCAGCTGAGGTTTTTATCACCACAGGGCTCTTAAACACTATTTTAAATATGCTGGAGGATTTAAAATAATGTTATAAAGCTTCTGGTAAATTTTTATCTAATTTAACTATGTTTTAAGCAAGTAAGTTGAGGTTCATGACTGGGTGGGCTAATAATTCTCATGTACAGGTGCTGATAATTAACCCTCACTGCAGCCCGCCAATAACGATCCCAACTTTACAACCATGATATAAAATCAACAAAAATATATAAAAATAAAAGAGAAGAAGTTTTAGAAACCTTAAGCTCCCTGCTATTGCTAGAGAAAAAAAGAATTTGCTATAAGGAGGTAAGTTAATGTTTAGGACTTTGGTGGGCTGATAATTCTCATGTACGGGGGCTGATAATTAACCCTCACCGCACCCCGCCAATAATGATCCTAACTTTACAACCACGATATAAAATCAACAAAAATAGATAAAAATAAAAGGGAAGAGTTTTAGAAACCTTAAGCTCCCTGCTATTACTAGAGAAAAAAAATCTGCTATATCGCCGGTGTGGGTGTTGACACTTACCATGATTTTCCCCTATAGCGTCGGCCTTGTGGATGAAGTTTCAGGAATTTGGCGACGTTTGCATTACTTGTATGGTGGAGGAATATATTCCCCCCCCCATTGAGCTTTGTTAACAATCCTCATCACTAACTCCCTTTCCTCGTTTGGCACGTTAATCCCACGAAAAGGCCGCAATGGAGAGGAGAATTTTCGCTATCTCCCTGAATATAGAGTGCTGATATGCAAGCCTTGCGGTCGTGCTATTCCAGCTGCGCACCTTCACAGTCATCTACAAGGCCACCGCAAAGAATGGCTAAGCCTTGACTCCGCTGCAGCAGTATCTCAGCTATAGAAACAGCTCCAGGAACACGATTTAGCTGATCTGTCTCAGGAACAGGTCCAGATTCCACCTTCCTCCGCGTCCGCCTTGCCAGATCTGCCAGTAGAGCAAGGGCTTGGATGCAGGCAATGCCCATTTGTGACTTGCTCCAAGAATTGGATGCAAAAACATGTCCGGACCCATCAGCCTACCCTACAACGGCAAGGGCGACCCTAGAAGTCTACCAGCTCTATTTCATTAGCACAGCGAAAGCCGGGTCCAAATCTCTAGGAAAATATATGTTGTCAGCGCTTCTTTGTCTCAGGTCCCTAAAGCCAGTATTTTCAGGTTATACCGCCTCTTAAACCGACAGCAGCCCCCAAAACCGATCTTATTCGCGATCAGGTTTATGAGCAGATCCGACAATTAGAGCAGGATGAGGAACAGCAAAATCAGATTATCACAACAGACCGTCACTACACTGCTATCAACCCCTGGTTAGAAAAAACCCAATGGCAGGATTATACCCAGGGCTATACCTTCTCGGAACTAGCTGCTCTTATATATATGCCTAATCCTGAGCAAGAACCTCTATTGCAGCTCTGGACCGAGAGCCTTGATACTATTCTTGATCAGGCTGTTCAGTCAATATCCACTCACCGTATCAATGCGTTCGATCAAGCTCAGATCAATAGCTTTGTTGATGATGCCTACCGGCGGCCAAGTCATCACCCAGTCTTCTATCATCTTCAGCCAGCAACTGAGAAGCGTTATCAACAGATTTAGAAGCGCCTCTTGTGACAGTCCAGATCTTGATCTCGACCCGTCACGTGATCCGTCACCTGTTAGCGAACCTATCTCCCACAATGTCTCGCACCGTCCCTACTTCTCTTTTCCTCCCTTCTCCATGCTAGAATTCTTGTATCTTAGCTGCCAGATAGTTGAATCCAAGATGTCTGTTTGAGCTTATTACACCTCTTCTGTTTTATCTACCGCACTACTCAGCCTGAGCAGTTAATTCAATTAGGCCACCACTTAACCAAAATATAGGCAGATCTGCTATTTCAAATGATGCAATTCAGTCAGCAGTTAGATAAATAAACCTCTTCAGCTATTTCTAATCCCCCTAATGCTCTTGGGCCACCACTTAAATCTGGCATTTAAGACACTTCAGAGAAACTAAATCAAACCTGTCTTCTCTTCTGTATTGCCCTTCTCGATCATATCCTCCAAAGGGATGTCTTTAAGAGTGTGGTAGTAGGATTCTTAGCAACCCTAGGAATTGATGAACAGAAGGAGACCTTTCGTGGTGCCTATATATATACACCAATCCTTTCGGGATTCATCAAGATTGGGCAGCTGCTGGTGATCCAGAGATCCGTCCTAGCTGTGGAGGAGGGGTCGGTAGATGAACCCTCTAGTATATTAAATAAGATGCGTCAATGATTTCTAATCCATGGATGCGCTACTCCTATAGTTAGGCCCTCCGGCTGCGCACCTATGGTAAAAAGATCAGGATCCGTCAGACACCGGTTCTTCCTGGACATGTGGATTAGTCTGATGATGGCAGCACGCTTAGCTATAGGGGCCAGTCCCTTTATATGGCAGATCTCCAGCGCTTTGTTCAATATCAGGTTGAGTTGCTGCAATCACAGTTAAACAACCTTCTTCTGCAGACTTCATCTTTATTACCGCTGACTATCCCTCAGTTCGACCTATCTCAAATCTATGATGATTATGCCAATCTAGCTGCGGGATGGAACTTTCTTCGACATTCACGGAACCAGACCTAGTTCGCAGGATACGAGCGATGGATTCTAGATTATATTATTCACGAACCACATCTCCAAGAACAGTTTCTGGAGACAAGCCAGGGAAGGGAATAATTTAGCTGGAAAAAAGCAACTGCCAGAGATTATCTCGTACAGATTAATTAGTTTTTAGAACGGCTGCTTATAGTTTGCCATCTAACCTCGGGCCATCCCACGCATGGCACGGAAATCCTTAGCCTGCGACATGTTAATACCGTGCATGGACGACATCGAGGTATCTTTGTGGAGAACGGGCTCATGGGGTTAGTGACGGCATATCACAAAGGATACCATATGACAGGCTCTACGTCTCTAATCCACCGATATCTTCCGGAGTGTGTCAGCCAGATCCTAGTCTATTATCTCTGGCTAGTCCAGCCATTCCAACGACAGCTGCGGGGCTTAGCATTTCAGGAGACCGCACTGATATCCCCTTTCCTTTGGCCTACTAGACGGCTCTCACGGCCCTCCCGGGGCCGTTGGCTATGGGACTCCGCACCCCCCCCCCCCATTCCGGCCACCGCATCGGGCCCGGACCGCGTCCCCAGCCGTCCGGGGGGGATGATCCAGGTATCATCCTGTCCGTCTCATTGCGCTGCATCCGACCGTGCCAGTCACCAACTCCTAATCCACCAGCGTGGCCGCGAAACCCGCGTGCACCCGTTGGGATTGGCTCGCCTAACTGGTTTTGCCAGGTGCACGGCTCCCCACAGAGGCCACACCACTTCTCCTACTAGATAATCCAGGTGGCCTGGGTCGCCTGCTTGACCTCTCCCTGCTTGGATTCCTGCTGGATTGCCCGCCCCGAACTTGGTACCCGCCGGTGTGCAGGATCCCGCGGGGATCGCGCCCCCCGCACCCAACTGGGACATCCACAGGATCCACCGGACCCACCAACGCCGCCGGCGACGTCCCACCCTGACCATTGCCAGCGGCTGCGGCCGGCTGCAACCCAACCAGTCACCACGCTGGATCTCCACAACGGCAGCTGCCGGCGATAGTAAGAGCTAATCCGCACGCATTGCCGCGGGCGCCCCTGGCCTATCAGCAGTGATGATCTGTTGACAGGTATAAATATCAACCTGGATTGCACAAAAGTCCCAGGCCCTGGTCCACTCTGGGATCAGGAGTCAATGGTGAAATCTACCAGTTAACACAGTAGGGATCCTAGCAAGGCCTAGCCGCACTTGAGGTCCCTTAATGGGGCCGACCAGGCCATGGACTGGATGACATGATCAAAATCGATCCTACTGGATCCTCTAATGAAACATAATATAACTAAGGCTAGGAAAAGGGGGAAAAAGCAATGCTTCCTGCTACTGACTTCCTACTCCCTCACCCTGAAAGGAAAAGGGGGCATGTATCCGTCCCCTGACTCTCTTTAAGTTGCTGGCAGGGCATGTATGGCCTTTATGCCCCCCCATCTTCTGTTCTGATCCTCCCATGTTACTCTTAGATCCATGACCACACATACCACCACTGCGATCGGATCGACCCCCTGTCCGCCATGACCGTGCCATTGCTGTATGACTACCTCCGTAACTACAATGCCATCATCTGCTGGGCGTGCGAGGTGGCGGTCTCCGGCCGCCTGGCGCAGCGACATCTTCGGAATGTGGCAAGTAAGTTAAAAGTTATTAGCTTTGACCTTTCGTTGTTTTGCCTCGCCCTGTTACAGGATTAAAAATCTCAAAATATTCTAGGTATTATCAAGTCAACGAGGGGGATTACTGCCAGCTCATTGCTCTCAACTTCACTATCACCGTTTCACTATTTGAAGCCATCAACCCGCAAATTAACGCGGGATGCTCAAACCTCACCCCTGGGCTATATTACTGCGTTCTTCCAACAGCAGACTGGAACCAGACTACGACCACGACCACGTCAAGCTATCAGACCGCACCGGCACCCACGCCCAGTGGGACTACCGCAAATTGCTACGAGGTAAGGTGATAACCTTAGAAATCCTTGGACTCGGACTCACTAACCTGGCCCCAGTGATATGTGGTACAATCGGGCGACTATTGCGCCAAGATCGAATCGGTGTATGGGATTACTATGGCGCAGTTGCAGCAGTGGAATCCCGATCTCAAGGATGACTGCTCGAACCTCCAGCTGGGTGATGCCTACTGCATACATGGAGATCCTGGCGGTACCACTCCTGGCAAGATGGCTGTCCGAGTTCGAGCATTTCCCACGTCGCCATAATCATACAAGGAATAGGGAGGAAATATGGTGGAAACAACCTTTCTTGAGGAACAAACGTTATTGATAGTACCTTGGCTTTTTCCATTGCTTGGAATACAATAACTGACAGCACATTTGGATGGTCAATACATTGTGCCGATTGAGATAGAAAGAAAAGATCAAGACAGAATTCTCGATGATTGACCTTTGACTCCTGTAGAAATGGATTACCTTTTATCTTATAAATTTCTATAAATATGTATTTCTAATGCTTGATTTATGTGCTGCTCCAGTGGTATTGCTTGATGTCTGCTAGAGTATATATTTCTCTTAACAGTATTGCTATATTATAAGGAGATAGGCTTGCTATATAATTTCATATAGCCCAGCAGTATCATTTTCCTTGGATGTTATAAGACTATTCAGATTGATAAATACCAAGTCAAGAGTAATATTCCATCTCCTGGGTTTATGGTTGGCTACACACCCTCGTTGGATCCTGTGCCATCATTATGACTGGGATTTCCCCCATTACTTCCTCCAAATTGGGTAATAAAGGGTCTCTGGTAACCTAAAAGTAGATAGGCTGCAGATATATTGAGGATCAATAACTCATTTTTCCGACAACAGCCGTCCCTGCTTTAAAGATGAATGAGATGAGGTCTAGTGAGTTAGAATATGAGATACACACGCAGCCCCCCCCCACAGGAGCTAAGATATTTCCTGGCTGAACTGTCTGAAGGTTGGACTCGCACTGCTCACCCTTCAAACTGACCAAGATGGCCACATTAGTGCCTTCCAACCCTCCTGGTCGCCTGACGGCCAATGGCTCGTCTTCGGCGTCGGCTCCTGGTTCCAGGATCGCGCACAGTACGGCGGATGGCTGGCACGCACCAGCGCGAACGCCACTTACGCCGAACTGCTAACTATTAGCAGTGCCGATCTCACCAGCAACTCCACGGCAATCAACTCCGGTTTCCCCAGTTTCTCGCACGACGGAAAGAAGGTCGTTTACCGCGTCTGGGGCGCGAAGTCGACTCAAGGCGACAAGCCAGCTCGGCCTGCGCATCCTGGACCTCGAAACTCGCAAGGTTACCGTCCTCACCACCGGATGGGACAACCTCCCCTTCTTCTCACCGGACGGCGAACGCATCGTCTTCACCCGCAAGACGAGCGCAACCAACTACGACGTCTGCACGATCCGGCCGGATGGAAGCGATCTGCGCGTGCTGACGAGCAGCGGCGCCAACGACGCTCATGCGGTGTGGTCGCATGATGGAAGGATCATGTACTCTACCGGCATGTATGGATTCCGGTATGAGTGTGCCTTGTACGACAATACATTCCAGCCATACGGCCAGATCATGATCATGGATGCGGATGGAAAGAATAAGCGCATGCTTACGGACTCGATGTGGGAGGATTCGATGCCGCTGTTTGTGCCCAATTTGGCTCTGCACCGGTAGTTGTATGGATCAGTACGATGATATTGTTGTGTGCCTGAATACAAGGAATTGATACCGAGAAATCCGATCCAATTGGAACTTCCGTGCGTGTCTGATGGAGTATATTTTCCGGCTGTTGCTTACCCTTACCCCTGTTGTGGGGGCCGAAAAGTGAGAAGACCCCCACATGAAGTCATAAGCCATGCCAGTGCAGACTCGATCGCCTTTAGGATGTAAGAAGCATTAAGAATGGCTTTAAATGTTTGTGTCAACCCAGAAGTTCAAGCCATTGTATCTGCTTTGACACAATGATCCCTAATTGATGGGTCATGCTGGCCATGAGCATGAGGAGGCATCTCGGGATAACCTCGGACGTGGGGGTTGGAGAAACCTGGAGTTGGGGGGTGTTGATACTCCGTAGAATCCAGGGCTACCTGTTGATCAATGCCTTAATCTCTGCATTCAAGCGGGTTCGGACAGAAATGCGACCGACTATGCCTGGCGCTGTGAAAACAGTATAAAAGGGGAGCCCCTGTCTTCAAGCGATGTTGTTACTTGAATCCCACCACATTGAACAAAATGCAGACTATAGTTTCATGGTTTGTTGTACTCCTGGGCGCTGCCGAGGCACAGCAGCTGTATATCACGACGACTGGGTATCCTGATCGCCCACAATGCACACAGCCAGCTACCTCCCCGGAGTACTACTTTCAGCCGTTCTCCTATACTCTGAATGAGACAGTTCGGTAAGTAGACAGATTGCCGATAGTAGATTAGAAGAGTAACTATGCTAATGATTACAGCTTTGCTACTTCTGTACCGAGGCCTACGACAACGCATACGTACGGGCCTCATTATGCTCATGCCGTGAAACATCTCAAACCCGTTCCAGCGACGACAACATGGGGCAATTGGCTGCCTGATCAGACCGTCATCACGGCGACTGATACCAGAGACCCCTATGGACAAGCCGCCTGGTCGATGCTGTGGCAGCAGGCCAGTATCGAGAACTATACAACGACCGGTCTGTACTCGACGACTGTCAGTCCCACCCCGGTGCCAAGCAGTGAACTGGTCCTGCCGCCCGCCGACTACTTTGGCCCGACGGACTGCTATAGCTTTCCTGATGACTTCGTCTTTGGAGTGGCGGGTAGTGCTGCGCAAGTCGAGGGTGCAGTGGGCTTGGAGGGCCGGAGTCCGACTATCCTGGAGAAACTAGTCAGCTCGAGTCAGCCAAAAGACTACGTGATGAACGAGAACTACTACTTGTACAAGCAGGATATCCAACGTCTGGCGGCCATGGGCGTCAAGTACTACAGCTTCTCCATTCCGTGGACGCGCATTCTACCCTTCGTTCTACCCGGGTCACCAGTAAACGAGCAAGGCATCAAGCATTACGATGACCTGATCAATACTGTTCTCGACGCCGGCATGCTGCCCATCGTAACACTCCTTCATTTCGACACTCCCTGGATGTTCGTCGCCGGCGGCAACTTCACAGCTAAACCCGACATTGGGTACGACAACGGAGGCTACCACAACGAGACATTTGTCGACGCCTTTGTCAACTACTCCAAAATCGTCCTCACACACTTTGCCGATCGAGTCCCAATCTGGATCACATTCAACGAGCCCCTCCTTTACTCGTTCAATTTCAACGGCGCCGATAACGTCGTGCGCGCGCACGCGCAAGTGTACCACTTCTACCACGACGTCCTAAAAGCAACCGGCAAGATGGGCATCAAGTTCAACGACAACTTTGGCGTACCTCGCGACCCCCGTAACGCCAGCGACGTCCAAGCCGCAAACCGCTTCCAGGAGATGCAGCTGGGGCTCTTCGCGAACCCAATCTTCCTCGGCAAGCAGTACCCGGATTCAATCCTGGACACCCTCCCCGGCGCCAAACCGCTCAGCGAGCAGGACCTGTCCTATATCGCGAATACGTCCGATTTCTTCGGCATCGACCCTTACACCGCGACGGTCGTCTCCGCAGCCCCAGAAGGGATTGAAGCCTGCGCCGCCAACGCCTCCAGCACGCTATTCCCGTACTGCGTGGTACAGGAAACGAAGACCAGATACGGCTGGAACATCGGCTACCGCTCCCAGAGCTACGTCTACATCACCCCTACCTACCTCCGGGAGTACCTCAACTATCTCTGGAATACATTCCGCAGCCCGGTCTTCGTGTCGGAGTTTGGGTTCCCTGTTTTTGCAGAAGCGGAGAAGACGGATCTTTCGGATCAGCTATTTGATACCCCGCGGAGTATCTACTACCTTTCGTTCATGTCGGAGATTCTCAACGCGATCCATGAAGACGGGGTGCGCGTTATGGGGGCGTTGGCGTGGTCGTGGGCGGACAATTGGGAGTTTGGGGACTATAAACAGCAGTTTGGGCTGCAGGTGGTTAATCGGACGACGCAGGAGCGGTATTACAAGAAGAGTTTCTTTGATTTGGTGGATTTTGTGTCGTCGAGGATGTCAAAGTGAGTCTCGTCTTAGGGTATAAGAAGCAAGAGTGTCAGCCTCTCTTGACCTTTCCCCTGACGGGAGTGGGCGCATATCCCCCTGGGCATAGTCGGTTTATTTAGTATTAGTCGGTTTGTTACTTAAGTTGACAAAGAAAAGTAAAGTTCCCAGATATATTTCAAGTAACTGTCAACAGCTCTTAACCCATCGCTCAATATCATCCACAACAGCCAGATCCACACTTCCTCCAATATCATACTCGGCCGGAGTACATCTCCCCGCTCCCGGTACAAACAAGTGATTTAAACTCTCGTACAGCCTAAAGTGTACATTCTGGCTATCCTAGAACTTTGCATAGAACGCCGCACAGTCCTCGTTGACAGTAACCTGATAATCCCGTGCACCCTGCAGGACCAAGACAGGGCATTCGGATCTCTGCAGGGACCGAATTGGATCGAAGTGACGGTATTTGACCAATATGCCGGACCGAGACCAACCGGTAGTTGGCTGGCTGGCGTTGATGGGGTCATCGTCGGACCATCTGCAAGCTCCGCTTGCTTTTTCAGCGTCTCAATCATATTAATATTACTTGGTTCATCGCCTGAGGGCAGCCCATCAGACTCGTCAAGACTCTTGAAATACCGCAGTTGTCGAATAGCACACCGGTATATCGGTTGCGCGGGACACGCCATAAGGACACAGCCTGCTACTGAGGGCCCAGGCTCAGCCACCGCAAGGCGAGCAGCGATCAACCCACCCAAACTATGGCCCAGGAGGAATATCCTGTCGTGGTCGATATTAGGGTGTTGACTGACCTTGCGTATGGTATGCCTGGCATGATAGACGTATTCATCTGTAAGCGTGGTTGTTGTGTTGCGGGTGAGGAATCTCCCAGCAATGGTGAACGCAAACTTGTCGAACCGACAGGATGCAATACCCCGATTGGCGAGACCAAGAGCTATGTCCTTGAATGGTTTCAGGGCGCCAATGGTAGAGTCTTTGTCGATGGGGCCGGAGCCGCCGATGAATATGATACAGGGGTATTTCTGGCAGGTCTCGACGGACGCTGGCAGGGTTAGTTCCGCTGCCACTCTGTACAGTCCGCTGCCGAGCGTGAGAGGAATTCAAGTGACACCCTCAGCTGCATACGGTGGTGGCTGCCAGGGTGCGCCCATGCCTGCCGCTTGCAATGTGAGGATTCGACTGCCAGAAACTCTTTCCCACCATAGAAATTCAAAATGGATTCTATCCTTGAAGAATGGTATCATTCCGCTGGTTTCACAGATGCTCAGCAGCAAGCAATTGCTGAAGCCCGGCAGCGCTTCCACACTGCTAATGGCCCGACCATGAAACACATCATCGACAGAATTGCGGTCGCAATAACTCAGACTTTCACTGACAGCGATGCAATGGTCGAACGATGGCCCTCACATATCCGGAAGCTCATGAACCAGTTCTCGAGATCTGCTGCCCAGCCCGCCAAGGAATTCGAGTCATGCGCACGACCGCGGGATCTGGAGAAGCGGAAGCAGGCCATCTCTGTATGGACATCGTTGCTGACGTTTCTTGTCTTTAACAGGAGGCCCTATGGTGCGGACGGTGCCCTAGAGTCTATGGGATTGAACCTCCCTTGGACTCTCAAAGATGACATCGACACCATTCGGTACTACGCCAAGTCAGGACAGTCCTTGAAAGTTCTCGGTGAGATGGCCAGTGCATTCTTCGTGAAGGTGATCAAGGACGCTACGGCCACGCCTCATACCAACCCCTTAGCCTGGTGGTTGGCTGTTTTGATCCAGACTGAAGTACTGGGTGACCAACCCCGCTGGAAGGTGGCAGGCGTACAGGGCACGCTGTCATTCTCTCAGAAGCTGGAAGCCACTGATCATTATGCTCGAGTTTTAGTCTTGGACGACGCCATCTATCGAGGCGACCTAAGCCAATCCAGAAAGAAAATCTACAAGATACCCTGAATCATGTCTCTATCAGTTGGATTGATCAAGATGCCGAGCGCCCTGCAGTCGACATTCGCCAGGCCTTCCTAGAAAGCTTCTCGCAAAAATGGAGGATCTATACCGAATATCTGCGCCCAATCTTTGCAGAATGGTTGACGGGCCAAAGTACAGGTCCCATGTCAACGGTCATATTCTTCCTCCACGGAAAGCTGGAAACCCCTTCGTATAAAAAGGTGCACAAGGTCATGATGGAGATTTACGAAGAATTTTCCGCCAGTCCGATGAGGGCAGCCTGTTATCCAGCTGAGGTGGGAATGAAGGACACTATCGAGCAAGCGAACAGTGAGGTTCGGAGGTGCATCCATGATGAACTGGGGCCGAAAAATGCGTCCCTCAAATGGGATGAAGTGTACGACACAATCGGCATGATCCGCATTCGAGCCATCTACCGAGATGAGGCCAATGATGCAAGGGCCGTTGCGTGGGTTGAGGAAGGAGACAGTCTGATTGAAGACATGTAACTTTCATAGAGGCTAGCAGAGCCACATCCTTGAAATACATTGATCTTCGTCTCATTGATGGCAAAAATTTCATCTCGACGAGTCATGCGCCTGTTGAATCAGGGGTGGCTCTTTTTGATAGATTGACGGACGCTTGGCATGTCCGTTCCGCTGTTTGGAGATTGTTTCGTCCATGAATGGTCGAGCTGCCTAGAGTCGGCCCTCGGACCCAATAGTTGGCGCTCCGTTCTCACATACAGAGGAACGGTTCCATTCGCGGAGAATAATCCTGAAGAATGACCATGGAGGGAACAATGTGGAGGAAATGTCTTACTGTCTGACCAGAGCTATGTACCCCTGATTCTTGGCGTCTGTCTTCCGGGCATATATAGTTGTCCCCGGAACCCATGTTGAATGCCTTCACTGTCCCTTCGATAGCTATTGACTAGCTAGTCCTTTCTCCAACCAACCTCTCGTTATCTCTATATTGTGTCTGTCTATATATAATGAAGGCTACTTTCTACTCGCCGCAGTCCAGCTGCTGGCCAGCTGCGTCTGCGCTCTCCCGATGCAGGACAGCCAGATCCCAGGAGATCTCGACGCCCCTAATGCAACCGCATGGGCCGAGATTGAGAAGCGCCAGAGGACTTCGACCTGGAATCCCCCAGCCAAGCTTGTCAAACCTCTTAATGAGGTACACAGCCATTCCGTTCTCCAGCCCTCAGAAGCCCACTCATCTAAACCTCTGCACACATAGGTCTGGGAGCACCAAATGTCGACATACAGCAACCCTATGGGATTTAAGAACTTGGGTTTCGACCATGTCATGGCAGCCCGCGGTAAAATCAACTACTGCGTGCGCTGGGACTCGAGCAAGAAGGTGACCGCCGCACAACGCAAGCAGATCGCCGCTGCGGTGAGCCCGGCTTCAATAAGTGGATCGCTGGGCTCGCGGGTTTCGACGGCTGGCCGTATAACACCGTCGAGGTGAAGGTCGTCGGATACGCCGTGCGCGATCGGTCGCTCCTGGAAGGCGACACATCAGGGCTGGACATCTACACCAATAGGGATGAAGGCGGGGTTCCCGAGTGCGATCCGGCGTGTGGACGGTTCTTCCACCAGGATAATGACTATAGTCGTTGTAGGGGCGGTGCGGCTCGTCACTATGGTATGTGTCCGTCCCCTGCTCAAGACTACTGTGGCTAACGATTATAGACGAGAGCTTATGGCTCACGGATGGTTTTCAGGGCGGCGCGGGCGGGGACTGGGGCCAGCGCGTGGGCCAGGAGTATTTCATGCAGAATGTCAATTCGGAGAATATCCACATCTACCTGCATGAGCTTGGACATACCTTTGGCTTGGATGGTCAGTTATTCCTCGTTTCCTTGTTTCCCATGGATGAGTTTGTGCTGACATTGAAAGATAAGTTTTCTACAACTGGACTCCCACAGGCGTAACGAACTTCATCATGCGGGCAGGGAGTGCGACACAGGTTACTGAGTTTGATATCTGGATGCTCCGTGACTGGTGGCGCCATCTGAAGAGCAGGTACAATTTGTAGGTGCTTGGGATAATTGAATGGGTGCATCGATAGCATCTTCTTATGAATGTCCGGATTAGGGTTCAGAAATTGCTGTGCTGGATTTGCTTAAGATTTTGCACCTGTGTATAACTGAATTGTGTTACTGCAAGTTCTTTTATATTTCCTATAAGAGTACCACTGAACAGTTTTCTCGAATTCCCACCATGGTCCTATGGTCCTCGCCCGAAGAGCATCACCAACAGAGTTCAAACACCCACACAAACATAATAGCCCTCCCACAGCGATGCACAACTGGTCCCTACGTCCGGATTCCAGGTGCTAAAGTTAGCCGCCGAAATGGAATATGCCTGCTCAATAGACCAGCAACTGTCCCCACTCTGGACAAGATAGTACGAAGTGCAGGTGCTAATGATGCCTGGCATGGGCCGGGCGGTTGTAGTGGCCACACAGTAGTAATAACCAACCCAGAGGCCAGAGCAGTCCGATCCAACGGCCGGATTCCAGTCTATGAACTCAGTCTCGTTCAGATAGGGATATTTCTGTGTCACAATGGACCAGCAGCTGTCGCCTGATACTGCTTGGTAGTATGTTACGCAGTCGGCGGTGATCCCTGATTGTGTCGGCGAGGGACCTGTAGCTGTGGAAGTGGTAGTTGAAGCAGTTGTGGTAGTAGTGGTAGATATGGCAGCAGATGTCGTAGGTATTGCTGTGCTGGTCGTGTTCGATCCTATTATTGGTAAATCTGTTTAGAATCGACAGCTGAAACCGACACCCACTATAGTACGTACCTGAAACACCAACACAGACATAGTAACCAGCCTGCATGGTATTGCAGTTGGATCCTACAGCGGGATTCCAAGCATAAAACTCAGCCATAGTAATATCATATTCAGAGAGGATGGCGGAGCAATCATCGCCCGCGGCCACGAGATAGTATGCATCACCTGTCCGTGTCAAACCAGATGCCTGCGCACAATTACAGGGATATCAGGTCACTTACAGTTTGCTGTGATGCCGGTCTGCTGGGGCTCGTAGGGCGAAGAAGAGGTAGTTGTAGAAGCGGAAGCTCCAGCCACGCCAATACAGACATAGTAGCCTGGCTGGAGCCCTGAGCAGCCGGTGGTGATCGAACTGGATTTTAGAACAGTTAGCAGTGGCTCTCTAATTCACCTGTACCTCTTTGCCGAGGCAACAAACACCTACGGGTTCCAAGTGTAGAATTCAGTCAGGGTGAAGTTCCCATAAATATCCTGGATGCTGTAGCAAGTGTTCCCACTCTGGACATAGTAGTACACATCACAGGTTGGGATCAATCCGCTTTGAGTCGGTGAAGGTATGCCTCCCGAGTAGGTGGGAGTAGTCGGTGATGCACTCGCGACTGTGGTCGTAGCCGTGGCCGTGATTGTCGCAACAGCCGTCGTGCTATTTGTTAAATCACCCACTTCAGTGAAAGTTATCTTTTGTATGCTTGTGTCGGTGGCAGTAGATCCAGTCGCGGCAGCGGTGGTTGTCACCGCGGGGCCCGCAACACAGTAACTCCAACCTTCAATCAACACGCAGTAACTCTCAAGAAGCGAAGGGTTCTAGACAATTTGGCAAGTTAACGTCCGCCAGCTAGATCTTCGAAATGTGAGTTGATCAAGCAACACACCCATGCTTTTAACTCTGCGAATGTCACATCAAAGTAGGCCTCAAGGCCCGCACAAGTGTCGGAAGAGGATATGTCGTTCGCCCAGTATTCACAATCACTGGTCACGTCAGGATCAGTCGTCCCGGTGGCGGAATCCCCGTTCAGCCACTTTTTTCGGAGGCTGCTTGATGCTCCCGCTCTCGCGAGGAGACTGGCAAGGAGGAAGGTGGATGGCTTCATTCTGCGTTGCGAGATCGAAGGGTATTTTCACCCTCAAATGGGGTGGCTCTAATGACAAAAGTGAGGAGCGAGTGATTGCGAGAAATGCACATGTCTGGAGCATCGGCCGTATATCTTGTGGTAAGCCCTGTCCCTTTCCATCCTGCGGACTTTCCGGCTAATCTCCCTCTAGAATGGAATGTCTGTCCGAGCAGCTGATACTCAGGTTCCTCTATGAAGGCTAGCTGTATTTCGCGTCAGCAATCGGACATACGGAAATTGCTTCTGAATTCGTCCGTTCTGATGGTGGTAATTTTGTGCAACTAACTCGTTTGTATGGTGTGATTTGAGCAGTGTCCCTTTAGGTAATGGGGGTTGGGCCTGGCTACCTAGTGCGGTACGTGGCTAGGCCGCTAGGGCAGGTTTCTTAACTAACTACCTTACCTTAGCTATTTATGGCCAGCCAACAAGCTTAAGCTTAGAGGGGAAGGAAGTGGAAGGAAGTGGTAAGTGGGCCTCAGAGACTCGGAGTACTCTATATCATGTATAACTTTAATCTGTCACTTGTTATCCCCTAGTAATGGACGATAGGTAGCTCCGATCTTGTATGTTTCCAATTTCTCCGATACAGACGAGTCATGCAGTTTCGACTAGTCCAAGAAGGAAGTCTAATGTATCTCGATGAATCTGGTAGCATCTCGGGTGAAAGGAAAGAAGGTCTGATACTTTTTCAGACTATTAAAAAAGCGACATATACAGTCAGCCGTTGCGGGTAAAGTCTGATGTGCTGTTGAATGTAGGAGAGTCTTCGGGATGTCAATCTTTGCAATTCTATTGTGTCAATGGGGCGTTTTCATTCTTGTAGCAAGATGTCAATAAGACATCATATCATACCTCATACATTGCAAATTTGAGTGTACTGACCACGTTGGTTTCGCTCTCGTTCTTTCATTTTATCCACGTATCTTGGCAAGATACGCATATGATCCAGGTGGCTCCTCACTTGATAATCGTGTATAGACGAAAAGCGGCATGGCCTAGCAGCCTCCTTCCTGTCTCGTGCTCTGCGACTGCTCGGTCCAGGGCCGCTTGATTGGAATTTCAAATCGGAAATGTGTTTGCGGTCTCCCTTACCGGCAGGGAAGTGATCAATCTCCTAATACGAGTGCACAGAGCACGGTGCAGCGCCTAACAGTCCCCATCTCGAGTGCGATCAGTGGTTTGTCTGGTGGGTCTGAGCAGGGTACCTGCAGGGCTACGGAATACAGGTACATAGTAGCAGTATTGGGCTGGATGAGCATGGTGCCTGGGTGGGGTCTGGAGTGTATACCCTAGTTTCTCAAACTCTCTGTAATCTGTAACTATTGGTGGCCCAATTACAAGCTTTTAGTGGAAACAAGGGAAAATTAGCTTAGCGAGACATCGAACTATGCAATATTCCCCATCTTATGCACTAGTAATTGACTAGGAGTTCGCTGCAGCAGGCTTGTATTCTTCTAACACAGAAAAGCATCCATTACATGCGTCTCCACCCTCGTACCCAGGTGCTAATTTAGTATGATCATGAGAATAGCGTCTTTCTCTTTTTGCTTAGGTGCATGTTACTCTGGCTTTGAAGCAATTTTCGGAGTACAACGTATCCTCCGGGCCGGGCAGTCCGGACTGCTTCTTTAAGCACATGAAGAAACATGTGCTGCAAGCAAGTGACTTCATTGCTGGAATTGTGGAGAGCATATGAGGGACCAATTCGACGGGGTCAATCTGATGATTGTCTCGAGGTCGCGCTCTGCCACTGCTCGGTCCAAGACTGTTTGGTCGAAAGGATCCAGATTTGGTATTCGCATGTAGACACCCCTTTCGAGAAGGAAGTGAGCCATCTCGTAATTCCGACTGCTCAATGCATTGTGCAGCGCCGAACCGCCCCCGGCGCAAGCAGGATCCGCCCCATACTCGAAAAGCAGTCGGACCACTGCCATCTGCCTCTCCTTCATTTCCTGAGGCGACGAGCGGAGCTGTCTATGCAATTCCTGAGCCAGGGTATCGACCAGTACAATGGGCTCTTTCTTAATTCTTACCCCCCGACGGCCTGTACGATGCCCCTTTTCTGGAGGCCAGAGCCAGGCTGAGCTGGGCATCGGCTCCCATACGGTTGCGCTAGCAAGGGGCCCCCCTCTGTCGCTCTTAGTCATATTCGGGTTCGCGCCAGCCTCGAGCAGAAGCTTTGTCGCAGACACCTGTTTGAAGTTGGCCGCTATATCCAACGGAGTGGTGATGTTATCGTCCCTCTGGAAATTCACCTCGGCACCCGCGTCGAGCAACATGCGAATGACAGCCTCATTATGGGATCGTTTCACAGCTGCACACAGTGCTTCTCCGAGCTCGCGGCTCTTGACGGCGGGCCACAATCCGCGCCGTTCGACGTTGTCTAATAGTAATCGGACCAGCTCCGCATGTCCGCCGTGTGCAGCCCAGCAGATTGTGGAGGGGCCTACGATGTACCATGGGTCGACGCCCCGGCTGAGGAGTAACAACACGACCCCCATGCGATTCTCTACTGCTGCATGTCTGAGAAGTATATTGTAGTCTATCCCTTGCAGCCAGTCGCGCATTCCCGCGTCCAATAAAATCTCAACAATCTGCGCGTGGCCGTTGGCTGCGGCTTTGGCGATCGGATGATTGGTAATAGGTCTGACAACCTGTGGGATCTCAGCACCTGCCTGGAGCAGCTTCACCAGAGCGCCCAGTTGGCCGTTTTCTGCAGCCCATGCTAGAGCCGGTGATGGGATATAATGTTGCACGTGATAGCGGTAGAGAACGGAGTTTAGCTGGGAGTAGAGTAAACGGTTGGTTTGTGCAAGGGCGTTGATTGCACGCTGGGTATCCAAGTGCCCTGCTATCAACTGGATAATCTCGCCCGGCAGTCCAGAGAGGCTCATGACTTGGTTGGTCAACTTGGCGAGAGACGTGAGAAAGGTATTGTTAGAAAGAAGAAAGCGAATAGGTCCAGTATCTCCTCGTCTCCATCCAGGGAAAGTAGCGTCTAGATAACGAGGTTACGAGGGCAATAAGTCAACGCTTATTTATGTTTCATGAATCTATAATACGCAGTACCGTAACAAACTCCACTTAGATCGGTCATTCCTCGGCTAAAAACAATTAATAGAACCCAAGGATCAATACCTCCGTGCCTGATTACTGCGTATTATTGGAAATTCCGGTGTAAGAAAATCGGCTAACCCCTCGGCTTGCTGGGTTAAGAACTTAAGATCACAGTTCATTTCAGCACTCAGAAAAGGAAGGCAGATGACAGGAGCCAGGTTCGGTCCCTTGGTTCACTTGACTCTCTCATATTATTATCTATCTAGCCTCACCTGCTACACCTATTGTTAAAGATAATGCAGGTTGAAGGATATCATGGTGCCCTTGATATGTTATGTATGGCTTGAACTTCCGGCGATAGTAAATGTAGACAGAAATGCTAAATGATATTCCGTCTTATAGCTGCATACCATTTGCAAATATAAGTGATCAGCAGTTTTGTCAAGTAGATTGGGTGAAGATCTCGTTGCATCTCAACTAAGCACCGGCATCAACGTCCGAGGGATCCTGGCATTCTCCGCTACGCCAGTTACACTGGGATAAGTATAGACCTAGAAAGAAAGATTTTTTTTAGTTAACAAAGGACTTGCTTTCAGTAGTTGATAGTGGACATGGTCCATACCGGCATTGAAATAAGCAAATGTTTCTAATTAGACGTTTTGATCAGAATGACAGATCCCAAGCTTGGAGAGGTACCATAGATACCAAGGGCGCAAACTCACCAGCGTTTGTCATTGCACTAGCCCTTGTTGAGGTGTCTTGAGCCAGATCATAGCAGTTCTCCCATTTATAGGCCTCTGTCCCGCTGTCTTGTTGCTCGTCCTCTGTCGCGTGCATATTAGTATACCATATACGTCCCAATACATCCCCCTGCTGCTGGCATTGCAGTGGAATAAGGTTGTAGACTCACCCATGACGAATGATGAAGTAAAGAATGACTCAGTGTGCATCAATTCATGGAGGATAGTAACCTCCCCTGATGCACTAACAATATCATCCAAGTATTCGTCTAACATTTCATCGACGGTTCTGGTGGTCTGCTCGCTAAGATGTTCTATCCATCCGTCCTGGTCATCCCAGCAGACAGGGCAAATGGTCAAGACATCCATGGTGACACGGCCCGTCTTATCCGCCACAGTTTCTTGCATGAAGGCTCGAAGTCCCTCCTCGTCTGCACATTTGCCATTCATTTCGTTATCCACCATAGCCGGTACCGCGCTACTAGCGTAGACAACTGAAGTTAAGGTTAGCAGATAGCAACATGTGGTGAACGGACGGGGAGTATGGGTGGCAGGTTTTCCAACAGGGGCTTACCTTGCGTGCTGCCATCCTCCTTCTGATACTCAACTCTTACAAGATGGTCGTCATTGCAAAAAACATCAATGGCAAGGTCATCTTCACCGAGAGCACCCAGCAACTGTTGAGCATACCCTGCGGTAAGAAGAAGATTTTTATAGGGTTAATATATATATACTGGTCAATTTCTAACAGAGGCAAGAGCAACTCACAATCGATCTTGGTTATCCTGGTTTCCGCGGCTGTAATAGCGTCCTTGTCTGTTGGATCAAATATTCCATATAAAGCCATGAACAGGTCCAATTTTGCCTTGTCGTCAGTAGAAAGCTCTCGTCTGGCCGTGCCAAGATTGTTCTTGATCGTTGTCAGACCAGTTCTGGTGTTTGTGAGCTTCAGAAGGCTATTGTTAGTCTCACATAGAACTCTAGATGGAAAGACTTTACCGACCATGCTCGCAATATTGGTCATTGTTGCTTCGAGATACTGGGCGTTTGCAGCGGAACAACTAGCAGCATCGAGTGCCATGTTTTGTCTAGTCCATTGTGCAAGGGCTCCTGGCCAAAGATGAATGGCGACTATAAATCCAAGAAAAGTGGACAGAGGACCCTTTCCCCAATGCTTGAAAATCATGATCAACACCCTCTATCAGGCGGAACACAATGTGTATAGTTCTTCCAAGTTGGGCGTCTGGGAGACACAAGTTCTCTGCTACATTCTGGGACTAGACAGCATAATGTACTAATAAGTCTGGGACATGGCAATGCTCTTCCGATTACCCAACCTCTCCCGCTGCTATAGTCATTTGCTAAGAACGACCAAGAACCGTTCCCCTTCTCCTCTTCCATTGTCTTGTTGAAATTACAGGGCGAATAAATTTGACAATACAGCCTAGCATGAGAGATAGTTAGCAGCTATCCCTAGTTGAGAGAGAGAGTAGATAACTCATCTTGTAACGTTTCTGCGCATCCGAGTAGTTCCATCAATCACATATCCTTGTATTCTTGATAATTAGGAGATAGTTTGATCCTAGAAAATAGTTAGTGGTAAGGGAGACCCCCACTACATAGTGTATCATACTCAAGTGGGTATACACCCTTCACTTAGCATTGCGATGGAGATGCAGTAACTGAAATACTGTAGCACTGACAGAAGCGATATCTAGACGCTATTTTAGTCCAGACCTTAGGATGAGCGTTTTACCACCTTGTTTTTATTTCTCCAAACTTGCCCTTAACATGAAAAAAAAAGGCCCCTAAATAAGCTGCTTCTGCTCTCATATGAAGGCTAAATGAAAATCAGCATGAACCGCATCAATGTCGCGTCTCTTTTCATAAGCTCTGAAATCTAAAACTCCTCTCTACACCATAGGGTAGGCGTATTGAGTAATTACAAGGATATCAACTCAACACTACGGCATCTGAAACTGACCTCGGACTACGTACTCCGTAGAAGTATAGAGATCCAAAGCTCATTGGGCTCTTGCAAATAACCAAGAGTAACATGCCCTGCCCTGGAGGTCTAGGCCGACAAGCGACTCGCCAAGGAGGCTATTGTCAAGCATTGCCCAGCCCGTCAATCCGTCCGGGACTCCAGGTCCGCCGGTTAAGACCGCAGTGGATCCCAGGCCTCCCCCTGTGCTTGCGTCTCGGCAATAATGAAAACTAAATACCACCATACAGCCATATGTAATCCCTAGGCAAAAACTAGGTACATGGTTCGGACTTTGGACACCCTTTGGTCTAGTGGTATTATAGTTTTACCACCAGCAGAACAACATCCGCTCTGTGGTCCACATTTAGTCAATTTGGCCTCTAAAAAAATAGCTTGAGTATTCCTGCTTGGGCAATGATGGCGCTGATCCAGACTCTTACTGGTGGTCTTCCGTGCCGCAGATTGTTTGCAGTAGCCCAGCAGGGGATAATCATAAAATTAGGTAGGATTTCGCTTCTAAAGCAAGCTACAATAATGAATCCACGTCACCACAAGATACTAGTGCGTAGTCTATACAAGGGTATTGGCCGCTCACCGATACCGTTTCCAGCTTCTGAACTGAACTGGCCTCCTTCATCAGTCTAAGTCATGGTAATTTTCCTCGCTCGTGCCGATAACCGGCAGGATAGCCAGCGGAGATTGCGGTCCTACAGCCCGTCAATACGCCGAACGAATTTAGTCTATGGGACGGACTTTCAAGTGTACTGAGACAAAGGAGGCGTAATTGCACACTCGCATGACAAGCGAGTGCAGGAGAGGGGGATTGTAAGTCTGACTTGAAGCGGCGCACCATTAGTACAAGTATAGTATAAGAAGGGGAGAATCACTTCTCTCGGTTTTTCTACGAGCCATTGTAGTCTCGAAAACAAAATGAAGAGGCATCTCGCTGGGGTGCTTTCACTGAGTACTCTCTGGAGCACATTAGTTTGTGCCCAGACAGGCGGAACCGGCACCTGTTCCTCTACATCAGAGTGTGTCAGTGGCTGTTGCAGCACCAGTGGGTATTGTGGTTTTGGCCCGGACTTCTGCGGCGATAATGTATGTGTGTTGAACTGTGATGCAGTAGCCGAGTGTGGATGTATGTGATCCTTTTCCATTCCAAATCCCATCTGAAGTAAGGTGCGGTATTGACAACGGTCCTCAATAGCATATGCCGAGGTCACGAATGCGACCTGTCCATTAAATGTCTGCTGCTCACCATACGGGTAAGAGCTTTCTTCAAATGACCCCCCATGGTTTGTTTATCGACGGAGCCCCGTTGACATCAGATAGTTTCTGCGGGACAACAGAAGATTTCTGCGGCACCGGCTGCCAGAGTGGCTGTGATGCTGTGACTGAGCCGTAGGTTTTCCCATTATCATTCAGGTCTGGGGAGGCAGCACTGATGATATCGTTCAGTTCCTGCTCTGGGGCGTCGAGCGGTAGTATCTATATTGGGTATTATGAGGCATGGAATTATCAACACCCGTGTGATAATGTCCTGCCGTCGGATATCGACGTTGCTCCTTGGACTGTGTGTTACTCCCTTGTCTACTGTTAGCAATCCCACGAAGCTGACAAACAGTGACCAGCATCTGTTTTATGCGTTTGCCGGAATTGACAGTACAACCTCCAAGATTAAAACTATGTATCCCAATGACGACCAATATATCCCGGACTTTGTTGCACTGAAGAAGAAGAAGTCGAGCCTCAAGACCTATATCTCCGTCGGAGGCTGGGATCTTGGAGGAGGGATCTTCTCAGATATGGTCCGATTTTCCGGTACCCGTTCTGCATTTATTAACTCCGTGATCGATTTTATGGAAAAGTATGGGTTTGACGGAATTGACATCGATTGGGAATATCCTGCTGCATCCGACCGCGGTAAGTGAGCTCTATGGTGCTTGATCAAGCATTACGTTCGGAGCTGACCATTGAGACCTCGGATTTCAGGTGGACGTACTGCAGACACGGCAAATTATGTCTCCCTGCTCAAAGAGCTCAAGGAGGCGTGTGGCGACTCGTATGGAATCACAGTAACTCTGCCATCATCATACTGTAAGTGATCTCGAGGGCGTTGATCCTGATCTCGCAACTGACCATGACACCAGGGTATCTTCAGGGATTTGACGTTGTTTCCATGGCCGACTACGTGGACTACTTCAATTTCATGTCCTATGATATTCATGGCACATGGGACGGCAACAGCAACTATACGTCCTCCGTGGTCAATCCGCATACGAACCTGACCGGTAGGGCCCTTTATAACTCATTCCGATGAAGGAAAAAGCTAAATCTGTCTCCCAGAAATAACCGACGGCCTGGATCTGCTATGGAGAAATAACATCGACCCAGGTAAAGTCACCTTGGGACTAGGCTTCTATGGTCGTTCGTTTACTCTGAAGGACTCCGGCTGCAACACTCCTGGATGTGCCTTTGACACATCTGCGTACAGTGCTGGTGGAGCAGCGCCTGGCGCGTGCACCCAGACCAGTGGGATCCTGTCCGACTATGAAATAAACCGAATTCTCAAACAGTACAACCCCACAGTCCAGTACGATGCAGCGGCAGGTGTCAACTGGATTACATGGAATGAAAACCAATGGTACGTATACAGATTGCTTCACCCATTCTCTGACCGGGTTTCTCATACATTCATGTGAAGGGTCTCGTTTGATAATGCGAAGACACTGAAGCAAAAGGCCGATTTTGCCAATAGCAAGTGTTTCGGCGGTCTCTTCAGCTGGGCCCTGGATCTAGGGGGACCAGGATCCCTGGCGAATCCCAATGATTTGGATCCTTCTGATACGTCCATGGATGGGGCCATCACAGACGGCGGCAGTGATGGGACGGGAGCCTTTTACGTTGGCCAGGAAATCTACAAGTCCGACAGCAATACTGTCACGGGTATTGGTCCCATAAACATGATCTTTCCCCCGAGTAGCCTGGCCAGTTCCACGACTCTCTACCCGGGGACATTTGTGACTCCGCTCGAAGTGGCATGGCCCACAACTGTCACAGTCACCGTGAACGACACAGTCACAGTCACGACCACGGTCGTGCGCGTGATTGAGACAACCACCATCACACTTGACCCGATCATTACAGGGGCTATTCCGTGGTGGAACTGGAACATTACGTCTCAGAACCAGACAAACGGGTCAACCGTCCTGTTCCCGAGTTTCGGTATTGGTCCAGTTGTGATCTCGGATAACCCCAACCCGCTGAGTTCCAGTGTTGTCTCCCACACTGTGACATCTAACCGGACGATTATCGTGCCTCCATGGCCGTGGTCCACCACCTCGTTACCGACAACCGTCCCTACCGGACCGACAGTGCACTTCTCCGAAGGCTCACCTCCCAGCCCAACATGTACGGCAGGATGCGGGACCAAATGTACCACTTTCTGCGACGCGCCTTGCATGCTCGACTGTGACGTGGGCGATGGTGAATCGAGTGGCTTTGACGACCCGACAGACCCTGACCCGCCCCACAAGCAGAAGTGTGGTGGGCCCGACTGTAAGAATGGTGAATGTACCGGTTCTCTTTGCGTCATCTTTGGATGCACAGGAAACGACTGCGATGCAGAAAACGGTGTTTGCCTGGGGAGCGACTGCGAAGAGACGGGCTGCATGGGAGATGGCTGCAGCAAAGGAAGCTGTGAATCTGACCCCTGCCAGACGGTGGGATGTACCGGTAGCGACTGTAATGAAAGTGGAGGCTGCTTTGGATTGGAATGTATCTCCATAGGATGCATCGGGCCATTGTGCGACACCGCTGACGGAACTTGCAGTGGTTTCGACTGCCACAAGGTCTCATGCTCCGGACCCAACTGCAAGAATGGGTTGTGCACCGGTGAGGGTTGTACGAATGAGGACAATGACTGCGACGAGGAAGAGGCCGATATCTGTACCGAGTTTGTCTACAGCACGTTGGATACGGCTGTCTCAACATATACCACAATGACGAGCACCTCCTGCGACACAATCACTGCTTGCTATGCGGAGGCCACCACCACCACCACGACTATTTCTGAGGCATCGACCTACGCCGAGCCATTCAAGGCATGGGCGGGCTATACCGATACCGCGGTCATGGCCTCCGTGGCGAGCAAAATAGATGCCGACTTCAGAGCGGCGGAAGCTTCATGGACCACCACAACAACGACTACGACGACCAAATCTTCTACGACCACTTCGAGCACCTCAACATCAACGGGGCCTGCTGCTACGTCACTGGAAAACACGTCGCCAGATGAGGTCAGCTACACGTGCTCCGGGATGTCTAGAGAGTGTGGTATTTTCTTGCATCTTCATCAATTCTGCGATGTAGCCAAGAGCTATATCAGAGGGACTGAAGTATATGGGTAAGCACCACATGACATTTTCCCCTCCCTTTCTAGTCGAGCGTATCTTTTGCTATTCATCTTCCGCCAGTAGTTTGTCAAATGCTAAAACATGGATATGAATAGAACCACCTCCGCCAATACCAACACGGGCGAGTGTTATACAGACGGAAAGAATGCCGGCTTCGGCTGTGGGATTTTCGTCAAAGGTGACGGCTGTCAATTACTGGGCACCGCCATGCAGGCGTAAGTTAAGCGACTCTCTTTGGTGTAATGAGGAAATTTCTCTAGACTTCTTGGGATACTAATCAACGAGGATCAGTGCCTACGACCACCTCATGAATGCCGATCTCGGGGGCTGCAAGATCTGCGGCCAGGTTACCTTCTCCAACGGATGCAAGATGCGAGTCGACTATGTCAGCGGCTGCGGGACGGAGAACAATGGCCCTGTACAGTTCCTCACGCTGGATGACAGCGTCGTGTCCACCGCCACCAGTCCCGCCACTCTTGCTTCGGACTCACCGTCGTCCTCGTCTGCAATCCCCTGGTCATCGATCAGCGACGCGACAATGATATCCTCGAGTCAGATGGCATGAGTGGCTGTACTTTCTCCTTTTCTTCTTATAGCGCACGAAGTCATCTTCATTTCGCACTCTGTTGTACATACCGAACCCCTGGGTCTACCTTTGACTTCACAGGGGACACTCGCACACTGTCGAGGACCGTAGCTTGAGCCTCCAAGCCTGTTGAAGTATAACTCTGGTAGAATTAAGAAGAGGGTGGGGTATTTATTCTCATTCTCGAATGCCAAAGGGAATGGCCGCAGCTTCTACAATGGGAATGGGGAGCGACTGGGGCCTTATGAAACTGCCGTCACAAGAAAATTTCCTCTTGTTTTGTCTCGTACTCCTAGTCCAGTCTGTTCATATCGCTCCAGCAGAAAGACGCCTTTCTCTCTGTGTGCAAAGTCACGAGAATACAGCTATTCACAACTCTCGGACAGTTTACGTATCCAGTCAGGACCACGCCCATTGGACCCTCATGATGCCATAAACGTGATCTTGCTTGCTGCAATGGGACCTTTTTATAGTACTGACTGTTTATTGTCAGAACAGGCCTAGCTTGACGCACAATCGCTAAATTGGCTCCGAGAACCTCAACCAAGCTATAAATATGGCCCCGATCCCCTTCTCTGATTCCTGTCTTCCTCTTTGCCGCACTTCCCTCGAGACGAATCCTCAACTTAGTCATACAAAATGAGGCTCTTTGGACTCTCCACCCTCATCATTGCTGTGGGAAGCCGCCTCTTCACTGAGGCACAGGCCACTCCTAACCAACGTCTTCTTAAAAGAGTTGAGGCACATCAGCACTCCCACTACTATAGATCTCGCCCTATTAAGCATGCCATCGCAGAACCGAAAATGGAAAACATGACCAGTATGACCACAGACCAAAAGAACACATACTACAGCTCCAACTGGGCCGGTGTCGCCCTCCTCAACTCCAATCTCCCTTCCACGCCAGCCCTCACCTCTGTCGCGGCCACCCTCACCGTCCCCGTGCCCACCTCCTCGTCCACAAATGTTCAGGCCGCCTCCGCTTGGGTTGGCATTGACGGCTTCATTAATACAGCCGCCATCCTCCAGACAGGCATCGACATCGTCGCGTACAAAGGCGAACCGGGCTGCTACACCGCCTGGTACGAGTGGTACCCCGACAGCGCCGTCGATTTCGACCTCACAATCGATGCCGGCGACGTCGTCGTTGCGACGGTCTATTCGACTTCTGACTCGACGGGTGTGGCCATCATCCAGAACGAGAGCACCGGCGAGAGCGCAACGGCAACACTCCGTGCACCCCAGTCGACGGCCACGCTGACAGGTCAGTCAGCGGAGTGGATTGTGGAGGATTATCAGAGCGGGGGGTCAACAGTGTCCTTCTCGGATTTTGGGACCGTCACCTTTACCGGAGTTGTGGCGGGGGCAGAAGGGAATCAGACGTTTGGGGTTGAGGGCGACGGGGCTGCGGTGGTGGATATTTTGAGTGGAAATTCAATTGTTGCGGAGGGCAGTATCATCAGCTCGTCAGAGATCACGGTTCAGTATGTTTAGGAAAAATTAGATACTGCCTATCATCCATGTGTGGGTTGATGTGGGAAGGTTGGTCTATGGCAGCATCTTCCCCATATCTGTTGCCTCTCATTATTGCGTGTCAATTGACTTCTCCCTTAAGCAACAATCCACTCACAGTAGCAAATGATATAAAGTCGCAGTTGCACAGAGTTTGGATATATAAACAACCTCGCTGAAGCAGATCAAGGATCGCTACCTCACTGGAGACTCAAATGGTTATGATAGCTGGATATGCTAGGTGGGAGCACCCGCCTGGTGGCATACATGATGACCATGATTTCAGCCAGCCCTAGGACAAGAGCTCCTTCGAAAGTTCAATAAGTTCATAAGCTGCGAAGAGAAACGATGGCTAGACTTCTGAGAGGATAACTTTCTGTCAGGTTCACTCATCCTGAAACCATTTATCCTTCAACAGTTCCTGTGCTGTCGGTCTGTCCTATCTGCATGGTCTGTGAAATGAATTCACTATCTTTCTGGGACACTTCTCGTTCTGGTGTCCATGCAAAAGGAGTTGTTTGACGGAGGGATCTCATGCATCAGGTATAAAATGCCCATAACAGTTTTGCGGCTCGCAATCTGTTCGTACTTCTCCGGAAAGGGGCCCAAATAGCGGAACTGTTGCTTCAGAACCTCCAAGTTGTAGCCTTCGTGGTCATAAGGAACTGTGCGAGGTCGGAATAGGTTGAAGCCACTCCCGTATATCAGATTGATCAACCGAAACCAGGTTCTAGTTGTCTTGCTTGAATCAAAGATCTGCTAACTCACCACTGATCCAAAAGACCAAATATCTGTTACCGTGTTCGACGGCGTCTCCATAATTACTTCAGGACTGGATCACATAACTGCTCCTACAGGTGTACCACTCCTAGCGTAGTCGCAGTCCTCGGGAACACACGCCCCAAGATCACCGAGCTGGACCTCGGAGAACCTGCTGTCGCCCTTCTGGTAGTTAACGAAGATATTGTCAAGTTTGACATCTAAGTTATAGGTCTGTCAGCAGAATGTTATGGGAGAATTTGAATCAACCTGCCTGTATGCACGTATCCCTCTATGTGGAGTACATTCAATGCCTCCAATATATACCTTGCAATATTCTTTAGTTCCTTTCGATTGAGAGTTTTTTTATAGACAAATTGAAAAGATCATCACCCAGGTGTTTCAGGATGATGATGGGTGGTTTGGCGGGCTCCTGAACTTCATCTAGTAATGGCCGTAAACAATTTGTTAGATTTGGAATTGCTGTAGAACATCTCTCTCATTTTTGATGCGAAAATGGCCCTGCACTCCTTTGACCACAACTGTTTTCTTGCATTGATTCCTATCATAAATCAGCAGAGCACTCAGCACCAGGCTGAGTAACCTACTCTGTGAACCAAACCATCTCCTGAATCTGTTTCCTTATAATATATTGTCCCAGCCTCCCTCGAAGGGTCTGACCAACTTTGAGAGGAAACATATGGTCAAGAGCACAGTAACAAATGTATTTCGTGAGAGCCTGGACAGAATATCATCCATGTGAAGAGGCATGAGCATACCTTGCTACTAGCCGACAACTCCGTTTCCTTGAATTTACAAAAAAATGCGTCCATACCCCTCTATATATACTCCATGATATATGATAATCAGACCAACAAAGACCCCGCATTCGAGCTCACACAGCTTCCTGTCGCGTTTGTATCCTTCATCAGATAAACATACGCCTCCGCCACCTCCTCCACACTCCCCACCTTCCCCAGCGTGGTCCTCGTCGCCAGGAACTCCGCCACCTCATCCGAAAACAACCCTGTCTTCACAGGCCCAGGACTAACAAAATTCACCCGCAGCGGCTTCATATCCAACGCCAGACCCTGCACCATGCCATATAACCCAGCCGAATACCCCGCAATGACAGCCCAATCCGGCTGCGGCCGGTTCGCGACGGCGCCGCCCGTCAAGATCAGCGACGAGGTATACCCCGGCTTCAAAAACCGCAGGGCAAATTTAGCGATAAGCACCGGGAGAACGAAGCGGATGTGACCAGCCTTCTGGACGAACTGCAGATCGACGTCCTTGAGCGGTTTGACGGCCAAGGCGTCCCCGGCGGTGTAGACGATGTGATCGCAAGAGCCGATTTCCTCGAAGAGTTTGTGGAGGCGGTCCTCGACGTCCGGGAAAGAGAGATCGCAGGTGTGGCCTGTTACTTGCGCGGCGGGGTACTTTTCCTTCAGGGAGGACACGGCTTGAGTGATGCGGGAGGGGTTAGAGGAGGAGATGTGCACAATGGCGCCTTCGGAGAGACATTTGTCGGCGACGCCGTAGCCGATGCCGGTGCTTCCGCCGAAGATGACGATTGTGGTGTTCTTGATGGGGGCCATTTTGGTGTTTATTAGGATGAAGAACAAGGTGCTTAATTGTTCATGATGCCGTGATGGAAGCTTTATATGTCAATTTTACTGGATTATCAAGCAACCGGATTTAATACGGAGATAAAAGGTGTGGATCTCATTGAATTTTGATGTATTCTTTGCCGATTTGGTTGCCGGCTGTTCCGGCATTTGCCAGAGGGAGGGGATTGGATGACAAATTGACGATAATCCACCGAGGACTTGTATGCACTTCGAAGAACGAGTCATATATCCATAATTCCCAACGAAATACCGGTCAGGCTTGACCAACGACGGCGCAGATTGCTCGAGCAACATAGTCCACATTGCCCTCCGTCAGCCCACAAATACTCAGCCTGCCCGATGGCATCAGATATACATGATATTCCTCCCGTAACCTCCTCACCTGGTCCTCGTTCAGCCCAGTATAGCAGAACATCCCGATCTGCCTCTCAATAAACGACCAATCCCCGCAGGCCCCATACTCCTGCAGCTTGCCACGAAGCCGCGAACGCATAGTCTTGATCCTCGAGCTCATCGCGATCAGATCTCCCTCCCATTGGGCTTTCAGTTCCGGATCCCTAAGGACTGTCTCGACGATACTCGCCCCGAACTTGACAGGACTTGAGTACTCCGCTCTCGCCGTGAGAGTTAACCTGGATTTGGCTCCTTCAGTGGACAGGCCCGGGGGGACAACCAAATGCGGAGTGCTGATGCGTTCCGCTATACAGCCCGAAGTTCTTTGAGAAGGATTGCCCGACGCATATACTGGGGAGCTTCGAGTCCGCGTCTGAGAGCATCTGCTTGGTGAAGTACTGGATGGCCCACGCGTCTGCGTCAATGTCTCCCGTTGCGAACCTTTGGTAGGCACTGTCGAAGACGGGGAAGAGCTTCTTTTCCTTGACTAGGTCCGCTAGCTCGATCCACTGGGATTTTGTAAGGTCCGTGCCGGTAGGATTGTGGGCGCATGCTTGGAGGATGATGACGTTGTTCGGTTCGGCTGTAGTGTCAAGGAAGGATAGCATTGCCTCGAGGTCGACTGACTAAGTGGATGGTGAGTAGTATGGGTATTCATGCTGCGTTACAGCCGACCCTGCCGTTGCCCAGACGGTTTTATGGTTTACCCACGAAGGGTCCGGGATGAAGACTCGTTTGGGCTGGAGATGCTTCGACAGAAACGCAGTGGCTAGGTGATTAGCACCCGTACCGGAGACAGTCTGGAGACTGGCGATATTTGATGATAGCCGGTTGGTTATATCCGAGCTGAAAGTCAATGATTTCGCCAGGTCGATCATAGTGGGTGAACAGGTGATGCTCGGGCATTCAGGGCACTGGCTTGGAATAACAAAGCAATGGCCCATTTTCGGAGATTAATCACACTTTATCGGATGTACTTCTCGATGATCTCTGTCAAAAGGATCAAACGTCGGTCGCGTCAAATTCAAGCCAAGATATACTTGGAAATGTATCGCCTAAACATCAGCTCCTCGAGGTCCTTCCCGAGCACAGTGACACTGTCTCCAAGCACTCATACATATACAATAAGAAGGGTGCAAAATTTCTGGCCAAGGACGCACTGAGTAGCGTTCTTCAAACGCGGACAATGATTCGAGAAAACGGGCGCATATATCAGGGGCAGAAACTCGAGAGCTATATGCTACTTTGCGATGAACTGGAGCAGGACCGTCTTGACTTCTTCCATGCGGTATTCATGGTAGCTCTGCGCTCTACCCAATTACTCCATGTCCCTCATACCTCCAACGGTCGGTTCCTTGATCTGGGGTGGGGGACGGGAATCTGGGCGATTGAACTAGCAAAAGCATATCTAGATGCCTATGTTCTGGGGGTAGATATATCGGCCATCCAGCCAAAATCCATTCCACTAAACTGTGTTTTCAAGGCCCCATTTAATTACGAGCTCCCTTGGTTGATCGGCGAAGAACAGTGGGACATTATCCATATGCGAATGGGGTGCGGCAGCGTCGTGAACTGGCCCAACCTTTATAACAGAATCTTTAACCATCTCCGCTGTGGCGCTTGGTTTGAGCAGTTGGAGATAGATTTTGAGCCTCGTTGCGACAGTCGATCGCCGAAAGGAATTTGGCTCCCTTTGGCTTGAAGACTGCGACAAAGCAATCCGGAAGAGAGATTGCACATTCTCCCGAGCAAACATTGCACTGGCTACGGGAGGCTGGGTTTAGTTGTATCAGTCATGAGAAAGTTGTCCTGCCGCTGAATCCGTGGAAACAGCCCATCAACGATAGGGCAGTTGCCCGCTGGTACAGCACAGCCTTTGCCGAGAGTATTGAGCCACTTTGTTTGGCTCCCTTTGGCCGGGTGCATGGATGGACAAATGAGAAAATCCAGACGACTGTGGCCGCTACAATGGGAGAGGCCCTTGATGCTGATCTGGACGCCTTCCACACACTACATTTATATAAAGCACGAAAACCTGATCGGCAGCTCGGTTAGTCTGGTCTGTTTTTACTTTTCTCTTTGTTTCTTAAATCCTTTTCCCTTTGCCAAGCTGTGACTCTCAAATAGCTGATACTTGTCCTTTTTCTCTTATATCTCTCGTTAGACATCTGCCCGCAGTGGGCTGGTCTACTGCGTTAGCGTCAGCTTGTTGCTTGGAAAACAGGAGTCAGTCGTACGGTATCATCGAAGGCGAAGAACTTGTTGCCCTAATTCACTCAGACTTCTGCTCCTGACCCGCTTTTCGACCGAGCTGCAAGCCTCGCCTGTCTGTATGGTCGCCGTGAAGGGCAACCGCTTGCAGGCTTAGATGGTTTAGACTGTATCCGTAGATAACCTTGCCCGCAAGAACCTCCAAGCCCATAGCAAGTCAATGATCAGAATTTCCATGAAGGAAAACACCAAGCTACCCCCAAAAATCAAGCTATGGTAAGTCCACGCGTTTGCTGAATCGAGATTGGTTATCTGACAGGCAATAGCCCAGGGAAGGACATAGAAAATGTTTGAAACTAGAGACTGGCCTAAGTACCAGGATGTGCGAGTTGCTAGCAATATTGTCGCCAGTTGGGTCGACACAGCGTAGAGTATATAACACCTCAATGTCGTTCAGCCTGATGTGATTAAAAGGGAGTGTTGCCAGACATACTAGTCTATTGTTTGCCACATACGTGCCGCAATCTTGGAAACAGCTTCCGATTTGGAGAGAAAAAAAGTGAACGGCTCACAGCCGAATATCGACAAGAACATGTATAGAGGGATCTCGACAGCAATAGCTACTACCGCGGAGAGAATTGCTGGCCGTATCACCACTTTATAGAATGAGCCACATCCTATTGACTGTATGTAGGCAGAGGGATGAGACACTTGCCGTAGAGGTTTGTCGCGGACCAACGCTGGCCACTCAGATGCTTTAATTCCCCCCAATTATGGCCAATAAAAGTCAATGAAGTAGCTTCCAAAGCTTGAACTGGAACCATCACTAAACCCCATCGGATAGTCGTGAATACTCCCCACGCTGTGGCATAGTCCTCTGACAGGGCGACAATCCCAGTCACTAGCCATAGATATAGTGCATTCCGAATTGCCGACTCAAGAAAAGTGATAAAGCCGGGCCGAAGAAGCACCAGAAATTTTCGCAATGAAGGCATATTTCGAGAATGCCAGGAATACCCGTTTTCCTTAATTTGTGTGGCGGTGAAGAAGTACAACAGCCCAGAGGCTGCTGCAAGTACATCGCAGCTGAGGCGTATACCGGCCTGCATCTTTATATTCGCTGTCCAGCCGCCGACATGGAATTTAGAGATGATAAGGAGGTCCAGAATTATGTTCATAAGAACCTTGATAGAGCTGATCATAAGGGGAACATCAGGCTTATCCAGGGCCCTTGTGGCGTTAGAAACGGAGACTTCAATGGCAGAGCTCAAAGCTGAGAAGGCGCTAATGCGGATGTAAGTTATGCTAGCCATCTGAACATTGTGTGGGACGAAAGTAGCCGAGAAGGCTTTCGCCGCACTTGCGATGATGATACTCATGATGATTCCTAGAGTGGTCTGAAAGAGTATGAGGGTATGCGCTAACCCCACACGAAATTCGAGAGATTGAGTCCCTTTATCCGCGATGGTTACCCATACTGCACGGGGAAGTCCTTCATTCAGAACTTCCGTAATGGTACCGATATAAGTGTAGACGTCAGTTGTGATGACTAGGGAGGAGTCCATATTGGCAACCCATAACTTGACAAGAGTGCTATATAAGGCTGGAAGGAGGAATGCGCCTGTATTGAACAGTAATGTCCCCACGTAGCTGTATACTTTCAACATATGGCTCCAACCCCGTTCTAAAATCCGTAAGGGAACGCCTACCTGGAACGGTACCACCATCTCTCACTGACCGCCCATTTCAGGTCAAAAAAATTGGGGTGTCCGCAAACATGTTCCTCCCATGTGATATCGCACAGCTGCTCTTCAGCAGCGCTGATATCTTGGTTTGGCGCCATGATTAAAACGTTATGATATCTGATTCTCGATTTTGAGGACGAAGCGGACATATGCGGGGTAGATAAAGCAAATTTTGATCGAGGTTTCATCGATCCTCTGCCACCTTGCCAAGCAAGATCAGACCATTGCATCCAAGCTTAGTGGGCCCCGGCAGCCTGGTCCACGAACCCGTAGAGTTAAGGTCAGACGAGATATTAAATAATGTGAAGTGTTATCCAGTAAACCATTAAAACATTGTTTGCATGGGATGTATTCTGACCCCCTTATTTGACAAAACCCTGGGGCTTGTGGAAGTCTGCGCGACAAAGTTCTGAAAGCAAATCGTCTCTTAATTGACTGAGCATTGTTCTGACAGCCTGCCAGTTGCTATCTTGGATGGATACTACCAAAATAACTGAAACAAGTCCACAGACGCAAACGCGACATGCAAAGCGTATAGTCCATTTCTTCATCTCTTCTTCACTATCGGATCCGTAATTCAAGGATACACATTGTTCACTTATACGCACAGGACTTTCGAATTCAGCATTGTTGGTGGGTAGAGAGGTGTATGGATGGTGATTGCGCTGGGTTGTATCTGAACAGGAAATGCATGGTTGTATGAGTCAATCATACGCGATAACTAGTGAGTCACCTAGGTAGTATAGCGCACTGCCCCACTAAGTGCTCAAATATGTCGCTCCAGATGAACTACTAGATTCCCTCGGCTGGGTTGAACTATAGTGAAGTAACCGATCAGGAACACAGAAGATAGCTATCAGAGTAAAAAAATCAATTCTATGACCAGATACACTGCTATGACGTCGACTATTACTTCAATTTCAATAGATCTTCTCATGACAGTGGCCAGGGACATCCCTTGTGGATTGAAACAGAAATGCAATAGCCAGAGCGACCCAAATCAATCCGTCGACACCGTTCTTTCGCAATGACGCTTGGCCACAAGGATAAGCAGATATATGATAGTGGCAGCCATGATCATCGACCAGCAAAGATTAATCCACGTGCAAATTCACCCGCCTCAACGTCAATTAGTAGGCCTGCAATCGGATCGCCAATCAGCAAGCCCGTGGCCCAGCAGTAAAGCTCATTCCCATCCAGGTACCCACGATCTCGAGGGATGGGACAAGAGTGGCGATGACTGTAGGCGAAAGAGAGACCACCGCCCCCGAAAAGAATCCGTAAAGTATACAAAAAATGATGGGAGACCTCCAAGGTTGTCGATTGCGATCCATAAATAAGATATAGCTGCGCATGCGAGGGCGCAGAAGTTCGACGCCTCGAGAGCACCGAATCGGTCCGCTAGCAGTCAGGGGATAATGCGGCCGAAGACGGATGACGCATTGATGACCGACAGAAGGTAGAAAGAGATGTCATATGCGATCCCCATTGTACGGTGGGCATAGATTATGAGATAAAAAAAGGGATGTAGAGGCCAACAAACGCGAAGAAGGAACCGAAATTATACAGGACAAATAGGGAAGATTTGAACGCATCCGGGTCAAGCAGACGGCGCGATTTCTTCGATGGGGGTAACCGGCATTTCGCTATGAGCACACTGATCGACAATGTGGCCAGGGCAGTGAAGGCTATGACTCTGGTGGCCCATCCGGCGCCGACTTGTGGCTGGAGCCTTCGAAAGATGACAGGGTAGATCACGCTCCTAGACTCCCCCCAGCTGCCGTAACCCCCGTTGCAAGCGCTCTCTGGGTGCTGACATCAGTCGCGGCAATGGCAACGCTGGGAAAAAATAGGCATCCACATCCTAGTCCGACACATAGTCCCTGCGCGAGGAAGATCTGCCAATAGGTAGTGGCCAGACTAGTCATCATCATCCCGAAGACTGTCAAGAATGTCCCTGCCATAAGTAAGGGGTGAATGAATCCTCGATCAAATATCGGGTCACAGACGCTGCTGAAGAAAATGACAAGGAAGCCTTGGGATGTTCCGATCCATGAAATTTCGGAAGAGGATAGGAACGCAGGAGATCACTTTTTTATTAAGCCTGGTATGTTCCATATGTATTGACGATTCCTCTTACTCACGGTTAGCAGCTGCTCTGCTACGTCAACGATAGTAGTACCTACCAAGAACTGAAGAAACAGGTGCGCCCCGAGCACCTGTGACCAGGCTGCTAGTCCACCATTTGGGATAGGCGATGGTTCCTGCCGCTGCTGTGGCTCATTCCCATTGCTTTTCAATGGGCTAGCAGCGCCTTGCTCAATGTTGGTCTCTTTATCTGGCGGCATGGGGATGGACAGATTGGTAAAGCTTTGGTCGAAGATCTGACACCAAAGCACCGGTGTGGATAAGGGTGGCTCCGTCGATGCGCATCATATCGGCGAGTACAGAGCATGCCCTTGGCTTTAACATCAGAGCACAATCCATAGTCTAATGGAGAACATGCCAATGCCTTGATATTAGTGATGCATCAGCTCGCGTAGCGATCACTGGTTTACCCAATCGGGTAATTGTCGGTGGGCGACTTGCCCAAAAGGGTGAAGCATAACAAGCGGAATCCGTTGCATTAACGATGGGATCTCTCAGAACTGAATACGAATCTTCCATGTGTCCTACCTCGCACATACGAGGGATGCAGAGTCTGTTGAACTTTCATTTCACTCATCTCCTTCAAAAATGGTCTCATCGTCCCAAGTACCAGATGGCCTTGTCATTTCGGGCGGAAACACCTCTGCAGAGCGAACAGGGAGGAAGCTGCGCTCAGCTTGCGAATTGTGTCGCAGCGCTCGTGTAAAATGTGATGGTGGAAGTCTGTGCCAGAGATGCGGGAGAAAAGGCAAGCTTTGTCAATACAAGGCCTCGCTGAGAAGTGGTCGGATGAGGACAAGGCGCCCCCGTGGCACCTCTAGCGATACCATGTCAGCTACAGTGAGTAACCCAGAGTCAGTCATCATGGGATTGTGGAAATGCTATGCTTTCACCAGAGGTTACCAACCTATCACGGGGTGCGGATGGCGGGCCATCGAATATTGTGCAGTCCACTAACTTCGGAGTCGAATCTTTCGCAGTTACGGGTCTCAACTTCCCCAACGTCTTAACGAGCGACCTGGACTACCTTGAACTGCATGGTCTAGCCGTAAGTTTGTCTAACTTTTGGGACCACCATCTGCTGGGACTGACTCAAGCATACCCTTATAGAGCCGCAGACCGCTGAGAACACTGTCCCCAGCCGCGCTAACTTATGAACTGCTCGGCACCACCCTGGACCTGTATCGCAAGCAGAACCTTCCTGGCGCAAGGTCTCGCGATGTTCAAGAAAGCTTCCGAAAGATTCAAATTGGGGAGTCTCATGGTACAGTATTGGTTGTTATGATCTTTAATTAGTTATCACATGTGATCTTTTCCAGACGGAGAATCTCTTGTATCACTCAGGGATAAAAGGGATATACGGAATAACAAAAGGTGTTGGAGTATCATACCATGATCATGAATATGAAATGCTAGACTGACGAGCACATATTCAACAAGAGGTCACGAAGAGAAAAGGATGAAGATACTGGAAGCTCATCAGAAAAATAATATCATGTGCGTAATTCTATCTGCGGCGAACCTTCTTACCACCCCGGGTCTTTGAACTTCCATCTACCCCGTCCAAATTTTGCACGCCGATCACGGAGGCGAGAACTTCACTGAGCAGGCAGCTGCTGAGCTCTTCGGGAAAATAGTCCTCTCTTAGCGGTCATCCGGTAATCCCCACACTTCTCGCAATTCTGAGAGCTGCCTCCATGAGCTTCGAGCTGATGGTTAATCTCTGCCGTGCTGGATTTCCGGTCCCACTTGGCACATTCCCTTTTGAAACGATCGTATATCTTAACGTCGAAGGCACGGCCACTATAGCGGAACCAATCCTCAACGGCGTCGTGGAAGCGCCTTATTTGCCAGCTGGCTGGGGTAAGTTGGGTGACACTCCCTTCCATCCGCAAAACCCCACGCTGTATCAAGGCACCCATATCGGGAAAAATTTGCTCCACACATTACACATGGTAGTACTTGTTCGGTTCTAATAAACACCAGGGCCTCTGCCCGAGAATCATTCTTAGACACAGATATACGGATATGATGCTCATCTTCTTGGTAGACCGGTCGAAATGATGCAGGGTCGAGGTTGAATGATTCTATGATGGCGTCTTTCCTGTTCCAAGCCAGTAGAGCACGCGACTAGGGGCTACCGCTAAACCTACCAATTCTGGTACAGCTCTCTAAATGCCACCGCCGTTTCCCACTCCCTAACATAATTTTGTGACAGAAAACTGAGAGAAATCTCCGTCCAGCGTGTCGGGTTGAACGCAGTCGCAGCCTCGGTATCACTCTCGGAATCAGATATGTTGGAGCTTACCGGCTGCTGTTCTATCATGATGACATCGCTTTCACCGCTATTTTCATGTGAGGATTGCTCCATTTTGTACGAATGAGTCTGTAACGGATAGCCCAGGACTAAGCTTAGAACTTCGCTAGCATCATCACGGGGATCTGGGGACTTCATTGGATATAGTGCGAAAAGGAACTATGTTAGGATGGCACAAGAGTTAGGGAAGAGCACAAGTCGCAGAAAGCATAAGGCGTTAGGAAAGAGGGTGGTGATGGATATATGTATTCGGCCAGACAGAAATATTAGCGAAGTAACCAACAGCGCCGTCAGCTCCCATCACCAAACAACCGCGTAAACAATCAGCAGAGGGTGATAGACTCATGATCGACTTCCCAGACCTTTATTTCCTCCGGGTGGCCTCTGGAAAATAAAGCCAGCTCAAGATGATCAGGCTGCGAAGGCCACCGCATCGACGTCGGCAAGGTCTGTGCAAGCATAGGGGGTGCGCAAAGGTCACTAGGTGATAGCGCTAGTCCCGATCGAAAGAAGGTTGCGCCCTTTGGCTGACGGTAGTGATCAATACCCCGCAGTCACGTCTCCGTCTTCTCCTGTGACGCTCTACTCCAGCTTCCACCCGCCTCCAACAGCCTCGTACGCTTCCCTCTGCACCATGGCAACCCACAACGCCCTCAAGAGCCCCAACTCTTATGGGATCGCCTGGATCGCTGCTCTTCCCATTAAGCGGGCCGCTGCGGAAGCGATGCTTGATGAGGAACATGCAGCTCCGACCGGCTTCGCTAGACACCAGACTGACGCAAACGTTTATACATGGGGCCGCGTGGGGGAGCACAATGTCGTCATCGCCTCTCTGGCATCTGGAGTCTACAGGACCACCTCGGCTGCGACCACAGCCTCGAGCCTGCTTGCCTCTTTGCCATCCATCCATCTTGGTCTTTTGGTCGGCATAGGGGGCGGCATCGCTCGACCGGACGAGGGCTACGATATCCGGCTAGGTGACGTTGTGGTGAGCCAGCCCCGTGGGACCATGGGCGGTGTCTGCCAGTACGACTTGATGAAGGCAAAGTCTGGCGACAAGCGTGAGCGCAATGACTTCCTCAGTCGGCCTCCGACTGTCCTCCTCAATGCGCTTACCAGCATCCAGGCCGATCATGAGCGGAGAGACTCCAAAATTCCCTACTTCCTTCAAGAGATGCTGGAGAAGAATCCAAAGATGGGCAAGTGATTGAAGCAAAATCCTGGCTATACTTATCAGGGCTTTAAAAATGACTGCCTCTTCAAAGCTTCATACAAACACGTCAGTGGCCCAAATTATGGGCGCTGTGAAACAGCTGGCGAGGTTCAACGCGATCCTTGAGACACGGCCGACCCTTACATCCACTACGGGACCATTGCATCTGGAAACATACTCGTTAAAGATGCTGCTGCGCGCGATTGGATTATTGCGGACCTTAGTGAGGATTGCGTCTGCTTTGAGATGGAAGCAGCCGGCCTGATGAATTACTTTCCCTGTCTTGTGATCCGAGGGATCTGCGACTACGCAGATTCTTACAAGAATGATCAATGGCAACGCTACGCTTCGGCGACTGCTGCTGCGTATGCCAAGAAGCTTCTGGCGTACGTGCCGGTCGCAGAGCTTCAACAGTCCAAGAGGGCACTGGAAGTGCTTCAGTTGGGTTAGTTCGTGTTTCGTTCACTAGCCAGACCAGCAATACTCCGGACTGAATACTCTTTAAACTTGGCATAAGTCCTGACATAAGCAGTTCAATGACAGATTGATGGCGTACAGCAGATGACAGTTGCAACAAAAGCTGCAACTGATTCCATCAGGTCAGACCTTCGTACAGATAAGATCAGGCGCTGGCTTTGTCCTCCGGATCCGTCTACAAACGCCAACCACGCGAGGGCGCTCTGTCATGAGGGGACAGGCGCATGGCTCCTAGAAAACCCCGCCTTCCACTCATGGCACTCAGGCTCATGTCTACATTTGTGGCTGCATGGGCTGGCGGGATGCAGAAAGACAGTTATCAGCGCGACTGTGCTTGACTATCTCGCGAAAGGAAACAATGGTCTTATCCTTAGCTTCTTCTTTAACTTTAGCAACATAACAAAGCAGACCTTGGATGGCATGCTGCGGTTGCTTGCTTTCCAACTCTATTAAGACGAGGTTGACTCTGCAATTCATCTTGATGCTGTATTTCAAGCACACCAGAATGGCAGCGACCAACCTGCGACAAAGACGCTGTCGGATATTGTTTTCAAGATGCTCGCAGCCCAGAGAAAGGACAGGATCGTTCTGGTCGCATTGGATAAATCAAGAATAAGGGAAGAGGTTCTCCTGTAGATCAAGGACATGGTGTCCAGGCTGGAATTGGCCCATGTCCGGCTGCTCTATACCAGCCGGCCTGAATCCGAACTTCTGCGTCACATTCCCTCTTTGATAGGAAACCAAAATTGTTTACCACTAGATAAGCAGTCTGTTAACTCTGATATCTGATTGTGGGTCACAGCGCAACTTTCTCAGAGGTGTGATTTCACAGAGAAGTCCTTGTCCCATGATCTTCTCGAGAATATCCGGAAGAAAGTTGGCGACGAAGCTGACGGCATGTGAGATATTACTGCTCCGATGGATATGCTGATGGCCTGCTGACGCACTGCTTAGGTTCAGGTGGGCGTTCTGCCAATTGGACAGCCTGGCTCGATGTCATCACGCGGCAGCTATGGAGGAGGCTCTCGAATCTTTGCCGTTGAATCTGAATGAGACATACTGGCGCATGATTGCAAGCATACCGACTGAGCTGAAAAATGATGCGATACACCTCCTACAATTCCTAGTGCACTTCAAGCGACCCCTCAAGCTGGTCAAGGCTAAAGAAGTGATAGCAACGCAAATTGAAAATAAGCCACTAGGGTTTGACATCAAGCGTCGACTTCTTTGCGAAACTGATGTTATAGATTACTGTCCTAGCTTAGTAACAGTCGTTCACGCCATTGATACAGAGCTACATCTTGCCCACATTCCTGTCAAAGAGTACCTTCTTGGAGAGAATCATTTCAAGATTCCGACGGCTAGCATTTCCATCACGAGGACGTGCTTGACTTATCTTACGGACATCGACGGTAGCCACAGGGTGATCCAGCGGGATTTTCCGATGGCAAGATATGTGGCGGAACTCTGGATAGACCAAGCTGCGTTGGCTCAGGCTTCAGAAGATATAGTTCAAGTCACAGTCAGGTTCCTAGAAAAGGAAGCGACATTCCAACGATGGTGTCGTTTGTATCAGGTTGACGGGAGTTGGGACAATGACCCTGGTCCTCCGCGAGGGTCCAGGCTCTACTATGCTTACTTCATTCGACTGGTAGCGACTGCACGAGATCTTATTCACAGGGGAGCAGACGTTAACGCGCAGGGCGGCTACTACGGTAATGCTCTCCAGGCCGCCTCACAGTGAGGCCACCAAGAGATTGTCAAACTGCTCTCAACAAGGGCCATTATTACATCGCCTTCAAAGCGGTCTGGACCTACGATTTCAAGCAACCCGGCATAGAAAGTTTGTCACATAAACTGTAACCTCATTAAACTTAATCACCCGTTCAGTAGCATCCACGATGGCGTCCACCTATTGTCTAGCCTTTTGAAGACACGACTGCGTTCTCCACCTCAAGAGGGTCAAAGGCCTCAACATGGCTGATCCATCGTCGAGACTAGAGCCTCTTTTTGCCGAGACAGAACATTATCCAATCCTTCGCTTTGACTGACCAACCTGAATCGGAATGTTCTAAGGAAGTGAACTTGCCCAAAGCATTTCGGGAGCACAGATTCCGCTTCCTGATAGCAAGAGGATATTCTTACCATTACACCAACGGCATGCGGCTCGACTATCACAAAACATTCAAGCTTGATAGGCAGCGGCGAGCTCTTGCAGCGTTAAAGTTAAAGGCGCAGGATAGTGAAAAGTCTTGCGACCATTAGTATAGCCCGGAATTTACAAAATAAAAAGATATGAATTTACCAAGTCTTCCTGTGAAGGGGACCATCGCTCATCCGAGTTAAAATATGAATCTGGCCATTCTCTTTCAACCGAACTGTGACGAGACATCCGCATTATATTCCTGGCAGAATTCGAACCCCTTCCGGAACAAGGTATTTTCTCGTCGTTAGTGTTGTTGACGTTTTCCCTTTCGCTTATTGGACTGCCGATGACAGATTTTTCTAGGCTTTGTCATCCTTAAGGAAGTTTCCGCGGCAAGGATGGGGGACAGAATAAAAGAGAATGAATATTTCAGCCCAAGGACCTTGAAAGTTCAGGTATCAATATTCTCATGCTCACCTTCCCCGCGTGACGGAAGTCTAGAATGTAGACACAAAGCACATCCTGAAACACAAGGTGCACTCCAACCTATCGTCTATGCTCCGGTTAGGATAGGCGGCGACTACCTGCAGGTAATCTAGGGTGAGCGGGTGATCAGCGGGTGATCAGTGATTGGCGTGATCGGTGATTGGCGTGATCGGAATGAGCTTAACTGAATCTTAAAGAAACATCATATCCAAGAGAAGTGATTCTATCTTTAGTTGCCCTCGCTATCCTGGGACGTCATCTGTCTCCATCATGATTGTTCTTCTATCAACCACTCCTCCCTTCTCTAGACTCTACCTACAACTAACCTACTCTTCTCCGCAATATTCCCCGCAAACACCCTCATCGGCTCCGCTACCAGAATCTCCAACAGCGCCATATTCGCCTGCAGCTCCCTAGTAATCCAGTTGCGGACCTCCAGCGCCACCAGCGAATCCACTCCATATCGGTACATAGGCCTACCTGGATCCACCTCGGACAAGGGCATCTGCAGTATCTCCGCCGTCTTGTGTACGAGCGCGTCCGTGATGATGGACACGGCTTCGGCGAGGTTGGACGCGGCAGCGAGACGCGTGGAGGGCGATGATGCAGCGGATGAGGTGTCTTGGTCTGCGGAAGAGGACGAGGATGCAATATTCAACACATTCAGCGGGCCAAACCGCGGATCACTGAAATGCTCCGGCCGCTCCAGTCCGAACCGGGCCATGACATCTGCCGTCCCTAGGCCGGTACACACCTGCGCAGGAGACGAGTCACTGTCTCCTTTCCACTCGCGGTGATCAGGCTCTTCATCAGCGCGTGGAAGGGCTTTTCGCGGATCCCGAGGACGGCTTCCCAGTCAGCGAGTTTGCCAGTTGTGCCTTGCTCGGCTAGAATGCCGACGTCGCGCATGATGCCTAGATCGACCGCCACGGCCTTGAGGCCTTGACTGCGGCGGTGGCGTGCGAGGGCGTCTTGGAACGTGTTGGCGGCGGCGTATTGCGTCTGGCCGGGGTAGCCGAAGATGCCGGATATGGAGGAGCAGATGAGGAAGAAATCCAACGGGCGCGTGGAAGAGAAGTAGTTGTGCAGATTGAGTATGCCTTGGATCTTGGGCCGCATGGGCTGCGTCCAATTCGCGTAGGACATTTTCTCGAAGAGCGTGTCGCGCAGCAGCATGGCCATTTGGACCACGCCCGCGATAGGCTGGAGGTCGGTGGTGCATTGTTGCATGGCGGAGAGGAAGGCAGTTTCATCTGCTACGTCTGCACGATAGGCTTTGACAACGGCGCCGGAGGTGGTGAGGTCCTGTACCTAGTATCTTCTGGATACCATTAATATCGTATATAGTCTGCTGGAAGTGATGACGGTGAGCTGGGGCTCCATCTTCAAGGACAATTGTGTTAGGTCGTTCGATTGCACATTCTTGAGCAAAAGGGATCAGCTTTGGGATGAGAACCTCCTAAGAGTAGAAGAAGCTGTTAGTTCTTAGATTCTTAGTAGAAACTATAGAGAAATGGAACACTTACCTTATAGTATCTATACCAGTCAATACCCCCTTTGGAATCCCGTACAAGCAAGCCATTCTTCTTCGTCCACTTCCAGGTAGGTTGACGGCCAGGGGTTCTGCCATTCCGAAGCTTCATACGCGCTAGACTGATATTAAGTTCCCATTCTGCCTTTCGGATAGGCTCAAGCTGTTGATTTAAAACCTCAATCTCTTGCTGAGCAAGCTTCTTATCTTGCGCTGTTTCAGGAGTCCAAATGTGTAAAGGACCTTTCTTATCATAAGAAAATGCTCCCCAAACCATAAAATCACAGGTTCCCTTCCAACGCCGTCGTATAACTGTAGGGTCGTTCTTCTCATCTTTTGTACGCCAGACGTGAACCGCTCCGCGCCGTTGACCAAGAGAAACCGAGGTTTCATCTGTAAATATCACGTTCTTCCAGTCCCCCAGGGTCCAATCTTTGTGGGCAAGGCAGAATACTAGTCGTCTCTGCTTCATCTCGTCAGTAAGTCCTGGTTTAGTGGTTTGTTTGACTGCCTTCAAGCCTTTCCGCTTAAGAATACGTAAAACAGAAGAATAAGAGATACCAGCTTCAAATGCCAGAATTTCAGAAGATTTCTCACGCCCATTTCGATCTTTTCGAATGGAATCAAGAATAGCTTGTTCAGTCGCTTCAGTAATCTCCTTTGGGCGGCCTGAACGCTTGCCATCTTCAACATATTCTGGTAAGATGCGTGGATCTATCTCTGGATTGTAGCCGCGCTCCCTGGCTTTTTTGACCCAGTATTGAATCGTCTGACGAGGCATGCCAGTAGTAGCCTCAATCGCCTTGATATCAACACCGCAGTACACCAAAGTCAGGGCCTGTACGCGTACAGTGATTGGATGATAAGATCCACGCATCTTTGATGGCTTCGAGGAGGGCTTCGCGGAGGGCTTCGCGGAGGGCTTCGGGGGCTTAGGGAGGAGGGAGGCAGGCAGGCTGATAACATGGATAGTAGGGGAACGCCGCTTTGAATTCATTTTGAGAGAGAAAAGGGGGTTCTGAATAGCTTCAAATTGCTTTTTTAAGCAAAGTTGATACGTAGAGAAGGTGAAAACTACTGTTTTGTATAGATCAATAGGTCTCCCTAGTAATTTTGCTGTATGTGCTATACATGGTGGATATGCCACAGGTTACAGGTCAGGTGCCGGGTCAGAAAAGCCAAGACGCCGCCCTAGTCAAGCACATGGCTGATTTTGCCGCTTTCGGCATTAACAATACCAGGTTTTAATTACCCGGCATCTAACATTTACGAAATCATAACGATATTGAAAGAAACAACAACTACTTCTTAAGTGCTTTCTAACTGATTATAGCATTTCATTATTCATTCGTAGTTTCGCTCGCCGTTCCATAAGTTCCAACTCTTTTTCTTCGTTTTGTAGCTGCTTTGCCTGGTTTTGCAGCTGTTTTTCTCGTATTTCTTCTTCTTTGTCCTTCAATCGAAGCTCAAGCTCACGAAGCTCTAAGGCTTGTCGTTGTTGCTCAATGTTCAGTATATTTTGTGAGGAGATCCGACGAAGACCTTGAGAGGTAGATGACACGGAACTAGTGAAGAACCAGTTAATAACCAGTTGATAGCTGATTAGAATTACGCTTACCCTGAAACCCGTGATTGGGATTGAGATCTTCGAGGTTGTAATTCTTGTTGAGAATCAACTGATAAATGAGCTGAAGATGAGCGACGACGCTTCCGTGATTCTAAGTGATTTGAAATAATTAATGAAGAATGCCACAATGATCAAAATGCCGATATATTTTCTCACCCTCCCGTGCCGTATGGCGCAAATAATTAACTTCCATATTTGCTGTTCGATATGAATGATGAATTCCGAAACGAGTCCGATTTATATATTGAAGAACGTCCTGTTTGTCAAGCTTTGCAGAACTACAAGAATGTTATTAGGAAGCACCTAAAACTGGTTAGAAACTAGTTTTCAATTACTTACTTCTGAATTGCTGTTACTAATGTTAATCGTTTGCCTGCTGCATTAGCCTTATGATGAGACTGTTCAGCAGAGTTAGTATGATTCCGAATAGAATCATAAATAGAGGAAGGGATATTAGAGCAGCATTTATTAAGGCCAGCTTTAATAACTGGTTGCCTTTTATGCTCTGCCCAGGTCTGCACCTTCGGTTCTTCGTGTGCTGGAGCAGTTAATAACTGATTATCACCCAGTTGAGAAGTACTTACTGATTAATAGATCACACAATTGATCATAATCTCCTTCGGACTTGCAGTCAATCAAACCAGCCATTCGACTCCATATTCCTGATCCTTTGTTATTGTTCCCAACTGCTTCTGTGATTGTTCGAAGGAAGTGAACACGGCAAAAGATAATGATTCCCTTTAATTGCCAGATAATTGGGCGGTGGAGAGGGTCAATCTCTTGAAGAAAGCGTCTGAGGCCTAAGCAGTTAGCAAGTACTTTGCAAGTATTTTATAGCCAGTCACTCACCAGTATACTGTTTTGTATCCATATCCACAACGATTCCGTATATTCCAGTAGAATGTATAGAATTGAACTTGACTGGCTCGCCAGTGATTTTCTGGATCAGAGAGAATACTCTTCTGAATAAAAGATAATAGCCATCTGTCGTTTCTTGATTTGTGAAGACTCGAAAAAGGGTGATAACTTTTATGACTACTCAGTACTCCGCCAGGGTGTAATAATCATCATGAAGTACTTACTTTTTCCATGTTCACGCAGATAAGTTGCAAATATAACCTCATTTGTTTCCTTTTCTCGAATGCGCTTGTATGACATGTCAATTTCAAAAGAGGTTAACTGAGTTAAGAGCTGGATTTGCTCTTTGAACGCACAGAGAATCATTATTCCCTGCGGATCATGATATTTCTCTTGAATATATTCCTATAACTGATTAGTAACTGACTTACAAATGCTTAACGACTGGTTTATAAGCACTCACCCGAATAAATGGATTTGTATTATATATATATGAAACCCCATTATAGCCCTGACCTGCAGGGTATGAAAAAAGTCGTTGTTTCTGGATAATAGCAGATATGCGATCCAGATTAGAAAAAGATGCATGTATTTCTGCAGGTGTAGAGGCATTATGTTAAGAATAAAAAGCCTCCAGTTCCGGACTTCGCAGAAATTGAGCTGTTAACTAGTTAGTAACCAGTTTTGAAGCGACTAAAACATATTCAGCATGTACCTCGAGTGAGACTTGGGTTTCTCATCTGTCTGATTATATTCTGAACTCCTCTTAATATAAGCTTTGGTGGCTTATGTGGTGGAGGTGGAGGATGTTGATGGATTCCATGAGATGTAAAAATAATATAAGGACAATCTTGAATATCAACTGGTACCAGTGCAGTAAAAGTAACATTGTCACGGTGCTGCCGTGGATAGGAGTTGGAACCGCTAATGAGGAATCACGTGACCTTGGGAATATCTTCACCGCACAATTCCGAAACCTGTTTGAAGCTCTTTGAGCTACGTCCTGTCTATAGAGC